AGTTCTTGTAGGGACCCATGAAGAAGGGATTTCGAGGAACGGTGTATGGAAACATCGTTGGTGCGCCTTGGGTTTACACTGGTTCTCTTCCTCCTCCTTCTTCTCCTCTCTTCTCTCCCCTTTCTCCTTTCTATTCCACTCTCTCCACATCCATCCTCTTCCCCCTCTTCTCCTGCTCGTCCCCCCTCCTCATAGCCTTCCTCCTCGCCCGTCGTCCTCCATCTCCTCTTCCCTCCGCGGACGCTCGAGAGTCCGGTGGTGGCGTACATCAGGGCAGTGCCCAGGCCCACAGAGTCCGAGGCACAGAACAGGGCCAGCATCGCGGCGTGGCCACCAGCCATGCCTGGAGGGCGGGGGGCACGTACCTCCAGAACGATGGTTTTGGGATCACGCTTCGACGAATTGCTCCGACGGTAGGGCCCCGCAGGATAATCTTCCAAGCTGCGCTCGAACTCATCCTCATCGTCGTCCCTGTGACTACGGAGGCTCTCTTCCTGTCTGGCTCCTGCTGGCCCTTGCCGGCGATTGCAGGTTTGATTGAGGATGGCGACCTCGGATGACTAACGCGAAGGTGCGGGCTCCAGAGGGAGGGGGCTCCCGCGCGAGACTTCCTCGCGTCTCACTCGCAGACAGGGCTCCCGCTCGAGACGAGACTTCTTCCATGCTCGAGCATCGTGCGCCCCAGAGTGACGATGACTGCAAGACTTGGATGGCCCGCTCGGATTCGGCCACGGAGGCGGGGACGCCACACGGAGAGGGGTCCCGCTCAGGACTTCCTCGCGGTTCCCGTGCAGACGAGGCTCCCGCAAGACACGTCCTCCATGTTCAGGCCTGAGGAGCCCAGAGGTGACGACAGTTACAAGATTTGGACGACCCTCTCGGATTCGAACTTGAAGGCGGGACCTCATACGGTTGGTCTCCCGCTCGAGGCTCCCTCGCGGCTCACTCACAGAAGAGGCTCCCGCTCGAGACGTCCTCCAGATCCAGGCCTGGAGCGCCCAAACACTGACGGCGGTTACATGCTTTGGGTGACTCGTTCGGGTTCGAGCGTGAAGGGGGGGACCCCTTAGGGAGGGGCTGCTGCTCGAAACCCACGCGCAATTCACTATCAGACTAAGCTTCCGCTCGAGACAGTCTCAAGATGAGTATGCGAGTGTGAGTGTGTGAGTGAGTGTGTAAGATGATGATGATGATGATGATGATGATGATGATGATGATGATGATGATGACGACCAGGTTCACGATGATGATGATGATGATGATGATGCTGATGATGATGATGATGATGATGATGATGATGATGCTGATGCTGATGCTGATGCTGATGCTGATGCTGATGCTGATGCTGATGCTGATGCTGCTGATGATGCTGATGACGATGGTAATGATGATGATGATAATGATGATGCTGATGATGATGATGATGATGATGATGATGATGATGATGATGATGGTGATGATGCTGATGCTGATGCTGATGGTGGTGCTGATGATGCTGATGATGATAGTGATGATAGTGATGATAGTGATGGTGATAATGCTGATAACTATGGTGGTGATGATGATGATGCTGATGGCATCGATCATGACCATGAATATGATGATGAACATGGCTATGATGATGAAGATAACGATGATACTGCTGCTGCTGATGATGATGGTGGTGGTGCTGATTCGCAATGTTAGTCGTCTTCGTATTAATCATTTTTCAGTTTTCATTACTAATGGCAGCGTAACTATTATCATCATAATTATTATCAGAGTGAGGGGGCCGAACGGTCATTCATAGCCCCTGGGCGCGTAACTGAAGTGAGACTCCGTGGTGAGGATTCTGCCTGTTACGCTGGTGTTGTTGTTGTTGATGTTGTTGCTGTTTGCTGTCGTCATCCCCGCCGCGACCCACCCGCGACCCATCCCGCGACCCACCCCGCGACCCACCCCGCGACCCACCCGCGACCAAACCCGCGACCCATCCGAGAACCAACCCGCGACCCACCCGCGACCCACCCGCGACCCACCCGCGACCCACCCCGCGACCCACCCGCGACACACCCCGCGACACATCCGCGACCCACCCGCGACCCACCCGCGACCCACCCGCGACCAACTTGCGACCCACCCGCGACACACCCCGAGACCCACCCGCGACCCACCCGCGTCCGATCCACATTGGTTTGAAGAAAAAACCGGCGCCTGCGGCGGGCTCGTTGTATAATTTGTCAAACTTTGGCGCCCGCGCTGGGCTTCTCCAGCGTCTCGCAGACTGCCGACGCCCCCACCGCCCTCTCGCTCTTATCCGCATCTACGGGGTGCTACGTTACTGTTATCATGAGAGGAGGGTTTGCGAGGTTCTTGCGCGGGTGTGCAGAGAAAACAAGAGACACCCCTTAGGATGTGGGGAAAAATGATCGCCCTTGCTACCCTCAAGTGCAGCCTCTTGCTGCACAAAGCCCTGGCGCAAAAACAAGAAGGCGTCTAGGAGAAGATAAGCGCTTTCGAACTCCCACCTGCGCATTGACGCTTCACGAGCGAGAGCATCGAGGATGCTTGAGCAAGTTTTGGACTCTCCCGCGCGGGCTCACGGGCCGTGAGCCCGCGCGCAAGCTGCTAGCCGTGAGTCACGGCTAGCAACTTGCGTGCAGCATCCAGATGTTCCACGCAGAATCGACACGGCAATTCTCGTAGTAAAAAAATCGAGGTCTGCAGAAGCCTCCAGGGCAGACCTCCAGGGAAATCCGGAGACCTCGGGGAGGGCCCAGGTCTCCAGGAGACCGAGGGGGCAGAAGCGTGCAGCCGGAGACTTGCTGCAGATCACCGGCGAGCAATGCAGAGCTCCCTCGCCCAACGAAGACATAAAACAGACATCCTGCGCCGTGCGGTGATACTCCGCGCGTCGACATCCTCTAGATCTATGGCGGACCCTGCCAAAGTCCTGCTGTGATCAGCTCAGGTCCTGCTGAGTCCTGCCGAGTCCTCCTGGGAACCGCGGAGGCATGCTGGGACCTTCTGAATCCTGCTACATCCTGTTAAGGCGAGCCTGCTAAGTCCTGCTAGAAACGGATAGTTATCGCTGGGACCTGTTGGGTCCTGATCTTTTGCGTCCTGATAGAGCAAGCCTGCTACATCCTGCTGCATTCTGCAGCAAGGTCCTCCTGGGTCGTGCTGCGATCTGATGAATCCTGCGGAGTTCCGCTGGAGCGTGCCCAGTCCCGCTGGAAGCTGCTAGTGTCTGCTAAGTCTTGCCAGGTAGCCCCACGAAGCACCCTGCATCGCGCCGCGCTGCCCCTGGCCCCAAAGAATCCGCCAGTGAGCCACAGGGGGCGCTGCGGGGCGCAGGAGCATTGCTGGCGCACTCGGGGTCCTGTAGGAAAACCCACAAGAGTCCAAACTGAGTCCTGGAGAACCACACGGTGCCAATAGGATACTCATGGGAGTCTTCAAGGAATCACCAAGATCCCATATAAGTCCAGAGAGACGAATCTATGACTCAGTAGTTGGATATCCCGCGCCAAAAAAGATTTGTCACCCTGAATTCCAGTGTTAAGGGTAACCCCCCCGGGTCGGAGTGTCGAGGGGCGCTGTGCCACCATGGGGTGCCCCAGACGCAGACAGCAAACACAACGCGTCCCATGTGAAACAATAGTGACTATCATAGTGTAAAAGATGTTAGCCAGCGTGGACCCCAAACAGTGGGCTTCTAGCAACCTGTGTGGTGCAACATATGTTGAGAAATCTATGTGGTATACGTATCTGGAGCAGTATATGTGTGGTGCATTCTACGTGGTGCAACTTATATTGTGCAATCGATGTCCTGCCATCTACCTGTTGTTATCTGTTGTGTGAAATATGTGGTACGTACCCAGTGTACCAGCAACGAACGTCGTAGCAAACGCAAGACGAGCGCATCCTGTTACATCAAGTTGGCCACAGCCACACCTAGTTACACCCGACTACACGTTACACCCAGTTACGCCAAGTTACACATAGATGCGCACAGTTGCACCAAGCTGCACGTACTTTTTTCACATAATTCTACCGGGATGCCGCAACTGCCAGCCAGATGCCATACATGCGGTTCGATCCGACTAGGGCTGCAATCGTCCGCCTGCTCAGGAAGCAGATTGGGAATTTCTATACAAAACGAGCTGTTTGTACAGAATTCCTTATGGGCGCTTGGCACCCAGCAAAGGCGAGACCTCGACCTTCGATCCTCGTCGCCACTTCCGTTCTCGCCTGCTCATCGCCACAAAGCTCGATCCTGGAAGCCCGACATTCAATCCTCTTCAAAACGTCGACCCTCAATCCTCGTCTTATATCATCAAGATTTGGCCTATGGCGGGAAGGGCCAAGACCAGAACTGGTATCGACCTTCCTGTGGCACAGCGACAGGCAACTATTTCAGTGCCCTGGTGTGAACACACAGGGTGCGCCGTCGATGCCTGCATCTCGCAAGCGCGCCATGTAAGGAGCGTATGCAAGGTCAAGGCGAACACGTGCATCATCATCTTCAGGCTTTCACTGAAGTGGTCAAGAAACACATGCACATGGCATTGCTGCCGCTGCACTGTAATGAATCGATGTTGGCTTACGTGAGCTGTCACACGTATGCCATGCAGAAGTGCACCAAAGAAGACATCGAGTCGACTTGTTCTATGAGCAGCAGTCTATTCACGAATGACATCGAGCTTCCTCTCAAATTCCTTGATGCGCTCCAGCGGCTAGCGCAGATTCAAACCATCGCAGCCGAATAAAAAACTTCAAACATCATGCTAAGTGGAGGTTTGGGAGGGAACGATGTGCGAGTCCAGAGGAAGGCGAATTAACTCTCAAACGGGCACGGTTCAAATGGTACAAGCGTCTGCCTACCGCACGGGCCTGAACGAACAGACACGGCACATGCCAGTAGGTCAAGGATAAGAGCAAATAGTTCGGCACCAGAAGTGACCTCTCAAGATGAATCTCCAAGATCATCATCATCGTCCTCCTCCTTGTCATACTCTGGCCCCTTCTGGCAGTCGGCCCAGGCACACTGGCAGGATGAACCGAAAGCTGCGAGGCATTCCTCACACGGCAGCGCAGAGGTGGGGGAGGGAATCGGATCATAACATGCTGCACTGGGGGGGAGTTGGTCCATGTCAGGAGAGACTAAACATGGGACAGATATCGACTGCGGTTGCGGCACAATTACAGGCAATTATTTCAGTACCGTAGTGTGCACGCACAAGGTGCGTCGCCGATGGCTGCATCCCACAAGCGCGCCATATAAGGAACGCGTGCAAGATCAGGACGAAATTGTGCATTAACCTCTTTAGACTGTTGCTGAGGTGGCCAGTGAACAAATGCACATGGCACCGATGCCACTGCACTGTAATGAGCCGACGTGCCTTCCAATATCAGCAGACGTAAACTAGAACATGTCTGCCATGCAGACATGCACCAACGACCTCGAACCGAGTCGTTCTAAAAAGTAGCTCCGCCAAAATATCCGAATTGAAAAAGAAACTCACGGATCCCCGATTGTCCTGCTACGTTCTAACCTTTACGGTGGGGGCATTGGATAAGGAACCCTTAGATAAGGAATCCAGGGATGGAGGCCGGTGGAACTCCAATCGAAGCTTGGCCATGGGTATCACCGCCGCCCTCATCAGATAAGGAACCCTCCAGGGTCTGCAGCCTCCTGGGCGCATTCCTTAACAAACGCCCCTAATGCAATCTCTGTCTGGCGATCAAGACATCTTCTGGAGGAGCACCGGCTGCGCTCAGCCCAGGGGGTACTCCAGTGCGGCCCCCGCAGCCCAACCCTGCGGCGCTCCGCGCACCCGGGGGGTGCCGCAGGCGTGGAGACTGCCCGGGAGACCAGCCAGGACCACTCCTGGGAGCCGTTCGCGTGAAGCCCCGGTGGGGTTGACCTCGCCGCAGGCCCGCCTCAGGTGGCTTGGACTCGCCCGTACCCGAGGCGCACGGACGCCCTACGCCGGCACGGGCCCCTCGGCCGTCGGGCCGCCCGCAGCCGCGGCGGCAGCAGTGGCCAGGGCAGCCGCGACCTCGGTGCGCAGGTGCCCGAGGCCGTCGCACCCGACCGCCAGAACGGCGGCCTCGGCGCCCCGCGCACGCACGCCGGGCGCTTGCACTGCTCGCGGGCCACAAGTCTCGGCCACTCGTGCGCTCAGCTCCTCCATGGCCTGCAGGTCCCCAGCGTCCTTCCACAGCTCGTCCAAGGAGAGCAGCCCTGACTCGGACATGCCAATCACCAAGCCTGCCGCGGCCAGCGCCCTCGGTGGTGCGGCAGCCGAGGCGGCAACCTTCATCGTCATCCACTCGCACAGCTCCCGGACCCGCTTGGCCACGTTGTCCCAAGCTCCGCCGCCGCTTAAGACATGGTCCAGGGCGACGTCCTCCTCCGCACCGACGCCGTCGGACGACGGCGCAAAAGGCTCGCTGGACCAGTCGCTGCACTCGCTGCGCTCGTCGAAGCAACCATCGACATCTGCGGTCGTGGCCACGGAGCACAGCGATAGGGCGGGCTTCCCCGGCGACGGCTCCCGGGAGCCGTGCGCCCGTCGGGGCAGCTCGGCCGCCTCCTCATCGGCCAGCTCGGGCACCAACGCCGCAGAACCGAGCAACCGCGCCAGGAATATGTCGGCCCAATCGACCACCGGTGCCAACGCCACCCGGCCGTGCAAAGCACCCAACAAGAACACCTCCGCCTGCAACAGCTTCGCTGAGGCTGCCGGCCCGAACTCCGGCTCCCCGAGGAACGCCGCCAGGGCGGCGCCGAAGTCCTCGCAGCGGAACCGGCGGCGGCCCAGCTTGATCTTGGTGAGCACGGCGGCCGCGACAACCTGAGGTCGATGCCGACCCGCGAACACATCGGGTCTCCTGCAACCGAGGGCGTCGAGCAGCGCAAGCGCTCCGCCCGAGCACGTCGGTGCCTGCAGCGCCTCGGTCAGCTTCTGGACCTCCGCGGCCAGCCTGGCCCTGCCCGCTGCGTACGCCGTCCAGCACGGATCGCGGGCTCCAAAGGCGGCATCCTCTGCGCATCGCCAGTGCCGCAGGATAGGTGCATACCCCTCGAGGTCATGCTGCACGAACGCGCACTCCCGGATTTCGGCGGCCGCGTACCTCTGCACCGCCTGGCCTCCTCCAGGGGAGGCTACTGCACACGCCACCAACGACGGGTCCGCCCGCAGCTCCTCGGGAAGGTACCGCAAGGCGGAGCCGCACTGCCTGACTGCCAGCAGGGCCACGCCGCGATCGCCCCTCAGCTCCGCGGAGGCGTACCGAATGCACTCGCCACCCCTGGCCACGGCGCTCAGCACCAGAGCCCGGTCGTCGAGCAGCGCGGCGGCCCGCTCGTGGCCCAGCGCCCCGCACGAGCGCGAGAGCACGGCTGCCGCGATGAGGCGGACGACGGGGTCCTCATCGTCGAGCAGGCGCCCGATGGCCTCCGCCAGCCCGGGCACCGCCGCCAACATCCCGTAGGCAAGGCCTGGCTCGGACCCCGCCAGCGCGTCGACGGCAGCGTGGCGAACGTTCCAAGCGGGGTCCCTGAGGAGGAGCACCGTTCGCGCAGCGTGCCTCACAGCATGCGTGGGGCTCTGCGTGCACAGGACCCGCAGAGCACGAGCGCGTTCCTCCGCCTTCTCGGAGGCCAAACCCTTCTCTACGAATGCCTCCACTGCGATCGCCCGGCGCCCGGCCTGCTGCAGCAGCACCGCGTGGGGCGTCTGGCGCGCGGTGCCGCGCGCGCCGTTCCGCGCCGGCCCAGTGCGCAGCGGCGGGCAGCACGGCCAGCAGCCTAGGACCATCACTGGGCGCCTGCGCCGCCTTGCACAGGCCGCGCGCAGCGCGCGGCCGTGCCCCGCAGCCGCGGCGCGCGGCGGGGCGCCAAGGCAATCCGAACACTTGAGCCCAAATGGCTACGGAATGATGATGATGATAAGAATAATAATAATAATAATAAGAATAATAAGAATAAGAATAATAAGAATAATAATAATGATACTAATAATAATGGTGATGATGTTGATGATGATGATGATGGTGGTTACGATGATGATCATGGTGTTGCTAATGATGGTGATGATAATGATAGTGGTGGTGGTGGTGATGATGGGGATGCTGATGAAGACAAGGACGGGGAACATTCTGTACAAGGCCAGCATTTGGACAGACTTCCGCCCGCCCTCCAACGTCCTCAGATGGTCCTACCCACGAGGGGTCCCACGGATTCGCCGCGCGGGTTCTTCTGATCCCCGATGGTGATGAAGATAACGAAGAAGATGATGCTGATGATGATGGTAGTGGTGATGATCATGACGAGGAAGAAGTAAATTCTGTACAAAGCAATCGCTCTGTATAGAATTTCTTCCAGTCCCCCACGCCCTCTGCTGGCTCTGCCCCCGATGGATCCCACGGCTTCGCCGCGCGGACTCTTCTAGCTCCCGATGATGATGGTCAGTGTGATGATGAGGGCGATGAGGACGAGGATGGGGATGGTGCTGACAAGCATCATGATGATGGTGATGATGATGATGGTGGTGGTGATGGTGATGATGATAACGACGATGTTGATGATGATGACGATCATGGTGACGACGATAATGGTGATGGTGATGATGGTGATGGTGAGTAGCATTGTGATGATGATTATGACGATGATGATGATCATGATGATGAGGACGAGGAGGAGGAGGAGGGTGCTGATGATGATGATTATGGTGGTGATGATGATGATGATGATGACGATGATGATGATGATGATGATGATGATGATGATGATGATGATGACCATCATCATGGTGATGGTGGCGAGGGAGAGGGAACGTCTGTACCAAGCCAGCGTTGTAACCGTTTTGTGCAGAACTTCCCCGGACGGATCCCACGGCTTCGCCGCGCGGGTCCGTACAATTCCTAATGATGATGGTGATGGTGATGTCGATTGTGATGGTGACGTTGGTGGGTAATGGTGGTAACGATGATGATGCGGAGGAGGGGGAAGGGGTAATGCCGACAGTGGTGGTGATGGTGATGGTGATGATGACGTTGTTGCTGGTGGTGATGATGACGATGATCACGGTGACGAGCTCGCGAGCGCAAGCGCACTGCTCGTGCCCTCTTCTGGGCCCCAGGGGCGCGCCGATGTTGAGCATGTTCTTGTTGGGCAGGGCGAGCGGCTTGCTGGACATGTTGCCGTTGAGCTTCCCGAAGGCGACCAGGCTGCCGGTGAAGGTGACGCCGCCGATCAGGTTGCCGAGCATCGCGCCGACCTTGTGGCCGACGCCGGCGTGGGGGTGGATCATGTAGCTGGACAGGCAAGTGGCAACCGCCGCAAGGCCTGCTGGAGGGAGCGTCAGCACCAGCCCAGCCTCCGTCGGGCGCCCCCCCCATCCTTTGGACCGCGGTCCGACAAGGCGGGCGTGGCCCTTCCCGGCCTGGCCAGGGGCCGATGCTCGCCAAGGCCTCGGTCGAGATCGGGCCCGTGGATGGAGGCACAAAAAGCGGCACGAAGCGACGGTGAGGGCATTGGTTAAGGAACCTTTAGTGAAGGAGTCCAGGGTCTGGAAGCCGGTGGAACACCAATCGAGGCTTGGCCATGGGTGTCACCGCCGACCTCATCAGACAAGGAGTCCTCGAGGAGCTGAAGCCTCCTGGGCACATGCCTCAACGAACGCCCCCACCATCAGCTTTCGGAGGCTCGGCGGGTTTCTTGGAGCGTCGCTAGACCCCCCTGGCGGCGCCGCTGGGGCGCTGCGCGCGCCAAGGACTTGGGGTCTTGCGAGGACCTCTGGGAGTATGGGTTTCTTGGTGTGTACTGCTTCGGACAGAAGCTTCTTGGAAGGTGGGTGCTTTTCGGGGATGGACAGACCCCCCTTTAGTAAAACGTGGTTTAGTGAAAACGACCTGAGACCCAAACCTGGCGGACGCAAGCCTGGAAAATAACGGCCACGGCGCCCTCTCGAGAACTCGACGTGTCACTGTTAGGGGTTCTGTCCACCCCCGAGCTTTCTCTTTTCCCCGGAGGGCCGACGAAGGAGTGGAAGGCGGCGACTGTCTGCGGCAGCTTCATGGGGTCCACGGCCTTGTGCGGAGGTTGGATGGCTGGCCACCATCAGGGGCAGGATAGATGGCAGAAGAGCCAACCTCATACCAAGCACACGCATACAAACGAATCCCTTCAGTAAACTCACCTACGGGAGCAATCGATAAAGGCAACAAGTGTTGGCAAATCCGCAGGTCCGTATAACAACCCCAGTTTTGACGGGGCGTCGGAATGGCTTTTCTCCTTTGATAAGGCGATGCCCCAATGACAACCCAACAGATACTGCGATTATGGATTTCATCTTCCCGCTGAGGCTTCGCCTGACGGGAGGCAAAACTCTTTGAGTGCAAGGCCAGTCTGACGAGGCGGCGTGGCCTCCGAAAGTTGACAAAGCGGGACCGCAAAACGAGAGGCATCAACATCACAGGCTGAAAATCATGAGCCGTGCACTGTTTAGTGCAGGAAGGCAACTGGCGACCAACCAGCTTCCCCCCCCCGCGCCCCGCGCCCCCGGGGGATTCCTCGGGGGGTCCTCGGGAGTCCCTCGGTGGTTCCCGATGCCCCCCTTCCCGAGCCCACAGGTCCCTCGGGTCCCTCAGAGAGGTTTGGATTTGCATTGCGTCGTAATGCATGGCAGCACGTTCAATTGCTTTGCATGGCAATTCGCTCTGCTGAATGTTCCGACAGATTGATGGATGTCCTTTGCTCTGTTTTATCTGGCATCGGATTGCAACGAGTTGCTTCGCGTTGCGTTGGGTTGCATTGTTGCATTGCATTGCACTGTGTCTCGTTGCATTGCATAGCTGTGTTCCGCATTAATAGTATCTTCTTCGCGTCACGGTATGTGACATTGCTTGCTTTACGCGGACTCGCTTGCCGTGGTTTGCATCGTATTTGTTGGGCAGCAATCGCTTGGTGAAAGCATCCCCTGCGCAGATGGCCGCGGGGGTCTGCTCGGGTGTTCCCAGCCCCTGCCCGCCAGACCGCCGACGTGATGTTTCGTTGGCTGCCCAAGAAGCGTGTCGTGGAATCCCTGACCCCCAACCCAGGACACAACCTCTTGTCTTGCCTTCGCTCGGACGTTCATTCCTTGTACATTGTTCGGCTTCGTACGCGCATGTTTTCGCAAGATGATCCAACATGCTCCTCGATGGCCCTCGCGGAAGCAAAATGCGCACGTCCGAGCGATACGAAGTTGTCGAAGGCCACCTCTCTGACGAGGGTCCTCCAGAGAGGGCACAGAATAACGCCCCGAACCCTGGAAGCCCAACCCTCGAGACCCCCCTCGCTGGCGCGCCGCCGATGTCCCGCGACACCAAAAGCCTGTCAACATGGAAGACACGGGTCCTGAGGGACACGGGAAACGGGTCTGGGGGAGGAAAAACCATGTCGATGACACGCCTACGTGCGGAGCCCATCTCGGGTGTTGCTAGAAGTACCCCTGGCCCACTGTGCCCCCAGCGTTTCGCTTCCTTTGGGAGCCCCTGGGGCCCTCTGGGCCTCGTGAGAGGTGCTCTAGAGTCTAGAGGCCGTTTGGGCTACCCCGAGAATCCTGGGGGGCACTTCTAGCAACACCCGACCATCAGCGTGCTGCTGCTGAAGAAACACGAGGCCTCCGGTCCAAAACACGAAGGAGCAACACGCTGACGGTCTTCCAACGGCAGCGTGTCATGCAGAGTATCTTGCCCGCCCGAGGGTCCTGGCCTTCGGGGACTTCCCGAGGCATTGGTCTCCTGCTCGGAGACGTTTTTCCGCCCCTGGGGGGGCCGGGCCAGGGCGTCCTGAGAATCCGAAGACGCGAGAGGCATCCAGAGGGAGGAGGGGGAGGAGGAGGAGGAGGAGGAGGAGGAGGAGGAGGAGGAGGAGAAGCAGGAGCAGGAGCAGGAGGAGGCGGAGCGTCCTCAAAGCAGGAGCAGGAGGAGGAGGAGGAGGAGGAGGAGGAGGAGGCGTCCTGAAAACCCGAAGGCGCGAGAGGCATCCAGAGTGCCTCTTCTCCTCGGGACCCGCCTACCGCCCGGGTGGCCGAGCCAGCCTTTTTTGACCTCAATGACTGACTTCCGGCAAGAAAAACTGTTGCTCGGTGTCTCGCGGCGGCGGCCCCGGCGACACGCTAGGTGCCGTACAATCGTTGGCGGCACGCACAAGGGGGTAGGGGGAGGGGGGAAGGCTTCCTAGCGGCACCCTGCTTCTTGGAAGGCCCCGGCCTTGCGTCTACACAAGAAGGTCAGCGCCTTCTGAGAAGCAGGGGGTGCTTCTGAGAAGCCTCCCCCCTCCCCCTACAGTCGGGGCGTTGACCTAAGGAACCCTAAATAAGGAACGAGGCCCCTCTTTTCCATAAGTTGAACCTCGATCTCCTGTCGAAAACATAGGGAAAGCCTGAGGCAAGCTGCGAAACACTTAAGGAACGCGGAGCCCCTCCCCGACGAAAAGGGCTCCTTGTTCAGGGCCCCGACTGTATACCCCTTTCTGCGCGCGGCCGGGCGGTGCGGGAAGCTGGGGAATGCTCGGGCTGCCGACGCCCGGGGGTCCAGGCCATATGGTCCGCGCGCCGCCTCCGGAGCGCCGTGGGTCCGCACTACTGGCGGCGCGGCGCGACGAGCCGAGGTGCCTGACCGCACCCTGCTGCAAGAAGGCCAGGGGATCCGGGGGAGGAGGAGGAGGAGGAGGCAGGAGGAGGAGGAGGCAGGAGGAGGAGGAGGAGGAGGAGGAGGAGGCGACCGCCCCTGACGACTGGGCGCTCGCGGGCCTTGCCGATGGCGCCGCCGATGGCGCCGCCGCCGCCGATGAGCGCCAGCGCGGTCATCATCTCCGAGCTCGGCACGCCGTGCAGGGCCATGGCCATGGCGCCTGCCAAGAGGAGCAGGACGACGACACGGGCGAGATACTTGCTCGCTTCGCGGAGCAGTCAAGGGAAAAGGATGACCAAAAAGGCCAGCGACTAATTCAGACACCGTCGGGAGCGCCACCGATGCCCAAGTCGGCTCGGAAGAAGGATGACGAGGATGGAGGAGGGAGGGTGAGGAGGAGGAGGAGGAGGAGGAGGAGGAGGAGGAGGAGGAGGAGAAGGAAGGAAGGGAGGAGTGGGGGGAAGTCGGGAAGAAGGACTGCGTGAGAGGTCTGGCTGAGCGGCAGAGTCGCACGCCAGAGCTGGGATGGCCAGAGGAGTGGACGGATCCACTCAGCCAGCGACTGGGCGCCAGTGGGGACCGCCCACACCACAATTGAACGCACGGCTTCCCTGTAGTTAGGGCGCAGATGTGAGAGGGAGGGCGGGGGGGGAGGAGGGCGATGAGGGAAGCAAACGCAAAAGAGGAGAAGAGCAAGGAGGACGGGAGACGAAGATGATGAGCGCGTACAGGGTGGAAGAGGGGGGAGGAGACAAGGTGAGGTGGGGAGGGAGAGAGGGAGGGACACACAGCGCGAGAACGAGAAGGGACGAGGAGGAGCAATGAGGGGGCGAGGCGAGGAGGCGAGGAGAAGGGGAGGTGATAGCGGGAGGAAGCATCAGGTGGGAGGGAGCAGGAGAACGAGGGAGGGAGAGAGAGGACCATGAGGAGTACAAGGAGTCCGCGGAGGGAGAAGAGGAGGAGGAGGAGGAGGAGGCGGGAGGGAGGGAGGGAGGGAGGGAGGGAGGGAAGGAAAAGGGGGAGGGGGGAGGAGGGCAAGCCTAAGGGAAAAAAGGGAGGGGGGAGGAGGGGTGGGCGGAGGGAGACGTGAGGAGGAAAGAGGCGTCGGAGGGAGGAGGATGAAGAACAGCAGCAGTAACTGTGTGCTGACACCGCCCACCCTTGCGTGCTACAGCTTCTTCCGCCAGAATGTGGGCGATTACGAAGGACCGCTCCTCTCTTGTGCAAGGACAGGGTGGATGACGAGGGCGAGGACGAAGACGACAAAGACGAAGACGAGGCAGGAGGAGGAATGGCGCACGAGAAGGAAGAAGGCAGAATGGCTGGCAATGGCAATGAAGCGGGAGGGCTCGGGAGGAGCAAACGGGGAGCGGAAGGAGGGCGATAGAGAAGGAGCGCGAAGCAGGAGAACGACGGGGTTATAAGTGAGAAGGAGTGCTCAGGAGGAGGACTGAGAGGAAGGACAGATAGAGGGCGAATGAGGTGTGGAAGGGCGTGGCAGAAGAGTTTCCGTAGCCATTTTGGCTCCAGCCGCCCGCAGCGGACGCTTCCCGTTGGCTCGAGCTGGCTTCGCGCTTGGCCGGAGCTTTTGGAAGTGTTCCACTTTGCGACTAGGATGGCACGGGAGGACACGGGAGACTCATGCCCACTGGGTGCGGCTCCACGTCGGACGGCAGCCGAGCGTCGTGCAGAGAACGGGCCCGCTGGTCGGCCGATCGGGCGCTCGCGCGCCTGACCGAGCAGCTGAGGGTGCAAAGGCCAAGTATGAGCGCCTCCTGGACTCTGTCTCCTGGTGTCTGGAATCACCGCTGGGGGATCGTATGTTGGCCCTCGCCGACCTGCTCCACGGACGCGCTCCAGATAATGCCACGGTCCTCTGGAGGAACGTGGCGCTACATGCTACGGTGCAGCCTGGAGGTCGGAGTTCGACGGCCACGGTGGCGGAGCTCAAGCAGGTGCTGGAGGGACCTCGCCTACCTGTGCAGTCGCTGCTGGATCCAGATGCGGCCCCGTTCATTCCCTGTGGAGTGTGGGAGCCCATCGAGCGCAGCGTCGAGATGCCAAGGTGTGAGGCCACTGCTGTTCCGTATCCGTTTGCGGAGTCCCACCCCTCAAGCGATGGCTCTGAGGGTGGGGTAGGGTCATCGGCGCAGTGCAGCGTCGCGAAGAACGGCGGTGTGGAGGTGACGCCATTGCAAGGAGCTGCCGCACATCCTGGGCTCAGGTGCACGTGTGGAGCCGCGGTGTACAGCTCTCTGGTTATCGACTCCGTAGTGAATGAGGCGATGACCGAGGGAGCGGCCGCCCTGCATGAACTCACCGAGAGAGAGGGCAGGGCAAATGTTTATTCTCTGTGAGGACGTCGTGCAAGGAGCAGTGCGCAGCGGAGGGCGTATTCAACACCGTTTTTCGTGTTCTTCTGCCGACAGCCTCTGCGGATCTCGGCGCGAACCTGTTCAAGCAGGCCATGCACATTGTTTTGGTTTGGAGTGGGGTGGCAACGCAGAAGGTACTACCACAGTTGGTCTCATTGACATTAGTCTGCGGTCGTGCATTGGGCTGTTTGCGCACCATTGTAGTATCTCTCCTATTGTGTGATCAGCTAAGCAAGCGTCCAAGACCTTTGTCCATGTCAGGTTCGCATTGCTCCCGCGGCTGGTGCAAGTCATCGGAAGCTCTGCACGTTCTAGTGTTCAGTACTTTGCCTCGGGATTCCACGGTGCAAGCTTTGTCATTCTGAGCAACCCCTTCGATCATGGATTGGAGTCGGGTGAAGAGAGAGAGAGAGAGCCACTGGGAACGAAGCAGAAGAACAAGAGAGAGGGGAAGGAGAAGGGGGATGAGAGGGGCGAAGGAAGGGAGGAGGAATGATGGGAGAAGCAGGAGGAGGAGGACGAGGACGAGGAGTAGGAGGCCCATGGCGCCTGTCACGCCGCTGATGCCCATCGCGCAGCCCAGGCTAGCCGTCTTCTGCGAGGCCAGGCCACCGATGGATCCGACGCACATCAGGCCAGAGATGGTGCCTGCAGGGGATGGGAGATCCTTCGGCCCCGCGTGCTCGGGCCCCATTCTTCTTCCCTCACACACAACCAATGCGCTGGTGATGAGAATTGCCGGCTTCCCCCACTGATGGCACGGGGACTCCAACACTCTCAGCACCAGCCACGAATGCGGTCGGACTCAGCTTGGGATACCTGAACTCTCTGTGAAGGTGACACGATGGGGGAGCCCCCGAAAGTCCCTACTGGGCGATCGGGGGCCCCCCACTCACGCTGCACAACGGGCTGGCTATCTGCCACGAGGCACAGCGCGTGATTCTGCCGACAAAATTTCACGACTTCGGACTCGGGGGGGAAGGGGGCATGTCGCGATGTCCCCCCAGCAGTTCGGGGGAAAGATACTCCTAGGCCCCCGCTGACAGCCAGAGCTTTTCATGCTCGCTAGGACGCGCGCTCTGCGGTAGCATTCTCCCCCGCCCCGCCGCGGATCGGCCTCCACCAGCTTCCGCCGAAGTCAAAACGCGCAGAATGCGAAGCCCAACACATACATATATATGTATATATGTATATATACATACATATATACATACATACATAGATATACACACAGGCATATACATTTACATTTACATATACATATACATGTACATTCACATGTACATGTACACTTATATACATGTGTTGGCAAGCATGCGTATGTGTGCTATTCTGTGTATGTGTACTATGATATGAACCTGCACACACACACACACACACTTTCGGGCGCACCCTGTCGGGGCAGAGAAGCCGCTCGGACGCTTGTCAGGCAAGGCCCAGCGAAGCGAACGAACGCCAGGCTCAGTGACGCCCCCAAAAGACGCCCTGGGAGCCGAAAGGCGAAACGGCGGGAACCGCCGGACACGGGGCAGTGCCGAGGGGCGCTGGACAGCGGACAGTGGCGGGGAGCAGCGGGCGGTGGCGCCAAGCGGGCACCGGCTGGGAGGGCCCCGCAGGGCTTCTGCAGATTGTCCGGACTGCCAACCCCTCCGGTGCCAGGTGCCAGCGCTCGAAGGGCGGGGGCCTCCGTGGCCGTCCACGTCTCGGGCACGGTGCCCGGCCAGAGCACGAAGGACACGGTCGGGAGGATGCACAAGGAGTGCGCAAAACTGGTAGGGAAGAGACCGGCACCGACAGCACCTCATGATCTCGCCGTGGCGAATAGAAACTTCTGCGTCGGCTTGTCGAGGGTGGTCTCCGCCCTGCCTGGCCCGAGCACAGGCCCCAAGTACTGGGCATGGCTCGGAACGCGCACGCTGGCCCAGGCAGGGAGATCACGAACGAGGTTGGCGGAGTACTCAGGTATCTCCTGCAGAACAAGCAGGACGACCACTGCCTTAGCCGAGCTGAGCTGCAGCCCAGATATCCTCGCAGATTCTTCGAAGATCTGCACAAAGACTGGGAGATAAGCAACGTCTGCTGGCGGCAACATCACAACCACGTCATCCGCATACGCGCGGACAGTCGCGGACGGCACCAACCGCGTGACCCGTCGCAACAGGGCGTCCACGCCAGCAGCTCGAAACCCAATTGCTGGCGCCCTCCAGCGACCAGGGTGCACTTGTTCTGCTTGTGAAGCGCGTGAACAAGGCTGAGGACCCAGCGTGGCAGTCAGATTGCCGCCAAAGGCTCCCGCAGGAACGTGTGCGCAACACTCTGGAATGCTGCGCACAAGTCGAAACACATCGCAATGCCGATCTCGTCGTGGAGCCCTGACTTCATCATCGCCAAATCGACCTCCAAGACGTTTGCCAGCATGGACCTGCCGCCGACGACCCCCCCATGTGGCAAGACGGTGTCCACCCAGCAAGAGCGGTTCAATGCGAAGCCGCACAGCGTTCGCCATCAAACGGTGATCGCAATTAGCCACATGTATCGCCAGGATAGACGTGTTCCCTCATTTGCTCGTCTATGCCAGAGGGCGCCTTCGGGAGGAATGTCATGTGAGATTGAAACCGAGGCTCTGGCGAAGCTGGGCTCCAAGCCAGCCACTGTAGCGATTCGAAGAGAACATCGGTGGCCACTGCACCCAGTTGGCGCCAAGCCAAGAAACGGATCCTGTCAGGCCTTGGCGTGGAAACGGGCGAGGCATCCAAAGCGGCTTGTACGCCGTCGAGCTGCGCCTGCCAGGCTGGGCTGCCCGGCGGGGACAGCCCAACACAGGAAGCGTCCTCGCACAACCACTCCTGAAGCAAACGTCGATCGACTTGACGCGGAACGGAACGAGCCCAGTGTGCCGAAAAGCAGCTGTGCACTTCGGCGGGGGGCAGACGCTGCAGCGTCTGGAACAGACGGTCGCGTCGACTGTTGTGGTTGTCCAAGAGGGCTCCAATATGCAAGAGTCGTCTCATTCCTTGCGAACGAACTTTTTTAGAACATGCAACTGTTCGGCCTTCACGGCGTCCGAGACGGCCGAAGAGGCCTCCCAGATCATCCCAGGACGGCCCGAGATGCCCCCAAGAGGGCCCCGAGACCGCCCAAGAGGGCCCCACGACGGCCCACGACGCGCCCAAAACGCCCCAAGAGGGCCCTCAGAGGGGTCCAGTAGGGAGAACTCGAATTTAGATTTCAAGCCCGGCGCCCCAATAGGCCCCCCCGAGAACGCCAGCAGGACCCCGAAGGCCCCAAGAGGCCCAACAGAGGCCCAAAAGACGCAGAGGCCCTCAAAAGGCCCCCGAGAGGCTCCAAGAGGCCTCTTGACAGGCCCCAATAGCCCTGACTTCCAAACTAGCAAACGACCGCGCACCAGATGTACCAACTCGATCATGTACCGATCCGAGGAACCAATGCGTACGGCGAGGGTCAGAATATCGATATGTCTATATCTATGTATACAGGTAGATCGTTAGATGCATATATATATATAGATGTGATAAAACAGGTATGCACATACAAATGAATTCGTGTACATACCTAGATATACATGAATATTAAATATACCTATACGACCACCCTTCGGGTGATAAGGAGGTTCGGGGGGGGGGAACCAACGTCTCACTCGATCGGTCTCACTATCGATCTCACTATCGGTCTCAGTATCGGTCTCGCTCGATCGATCTCCCTCGATCGATCTCACAATCGATCTCACAATCGATCTCACTCGATCTATCTCCACACTCGATTCTCACCGATCATCATCATCATCATCATCATCATCATCATCATCATCATGGCCCTCATCATCATCAGCATCAGCCATCACCATCATCATCATCATCATCATCATCATCATCATCATCATCATCATCATCAACATCGCCAACATCAGGCATCAGCATCGTCAGAGCATCATCAGCATCACCATCAATTCATCATCTCATCATCGTCATCATCTCATCATCATCAACATCATTCATCATCATCATCATCATCATCATCATCATCATCTCATCATCATCATCATCATCATCATCATCATCATCATCATCATCACATCATCATCATCCAGCATCATCATCATCATCATATCATCGCGGACAAACCGCGGACACCGCGGACACCTAGGGGCACCGCGGGACACCGGCGGACACCAGCGGGACACGGCGGGACACAAGGGGGGGGGGGGGGGGAGGGCCACCGGCACCCGGAAGGGAGACATTTGGTCCGGCCGCGCCTCAGCCACCCGGGACACCAGCGGGACACCGGCGGGACACCGCGGGCCACCGGCCGCCCGGAAGGGAGAGATTTGGTCCGGCCGCGCCTCAGCCACAGGAGACTTTCTTCTCGCCCGCCCACGCAGCTTCGCCTCGCCCGCACGCACGGCACGCACGAACACGAAACCGAAATCGATTTCCCGGTAGGGGGGCTCTCCGTTCCACTTCGATCTCACCCCCTCACCTCCGATGAGGAGAAAAGAAAACGGCGACCCTGTCGGCGCGTGCGAGGCGCTGCCGTCGTCGCCGTCGTCGTCGTCGTCGCTGCCCCCTCCCTTTCCCTAGGCCCTCCTCCTCCAGCGCGCCAGCTCCCCGTTTCCCTGGGCCGTCCTCCTCGACCGCGCCAGCCAACGGGGCAATTCGGACACGTCGCACTTGAGACAAAGGGAAGCCCCGTCCCCTTGATTCCTTCCCCTACCGGGGGGGGGATCGACGGCGGTGGGGTCCCAGGTCAGAGTACTCGCCCTCCACGTTCCCGCTTCGAAAAGTGCGCGGTCCCACTTAGCGCTGGTTTGGCAACGTACGTCCAAGACGGTCCAGGAGGGCCCCCGAGAAAACGCTTGAACCCCCAAGGCGCCCCAAGAAGACTCCATGAGAACCCCGAAGAGGGCCACAGGAGGCCAAACTCATGGATTTGCCTGACATGGTTCTAATTACGTGGTTCGCGTTCTCGTCTTGTGGGGCGCCCGACGCTCCAAGACGGCCCAGGGAGCCCCCAAGATCGCACGAAGACTGCCCACGAGGCCCCCAAGAGGGCCTCGAATCGACCCGAAACGACCCCCAAGACTGCCCAGACGGGTCCCACGAGGCTCCCCAAAAGGGAAACATCAACAGGCGAGGAGGCCCCCGAGGATGCAACCGGAGGCGGAGGAGAAGGAGGAGAAGGCGGAGGAGGAGGAGGGAGGAGGAGGAGGAGGAGGAGGAGGAGGAGGAGGAGGAGGAGGAGGAGGAGGAGGACGCGGAGGAGGAGGAGGAGGAGGAGGAGGAGGAGGAAGAAGAGGAGGGAGGAGGGAGGAGGGAGGAGGAGGTCGCGCGTGCTCCAGTTGCGGGGAAAGCCCCCCCCCCCCCCCCCCCCCGGGAGCGCCGACGGTCGGGATCGCCGCGGGCGCGGCCCACGGCGCCACCGCGAGCACGCCCGCCGGGAGCAGGTACTTCGGCATGAGGTCCTCCTCCCCCGGCTTCCTTGCGGGGGGGAGGGCCCGAGAGGAGCAGCAGCTGGAGCTCGGCGGCGAGCGAGGGGGGGAAGCGAGGAGGAGGAGGCCCGGCGGATGGCCCGAAGCGAGCCCGACGGAGTGCTGGGGCCAAGGGCAAAGCCAGCGGGTCCACGCTGCGGTTGCGCCTTTGCCAGCAGAAACGTCCGATCTTAGCTGCCCTGGCACGCAACACGCAACCCAGAGCGTATTGATGCGGAGCTCAACACGTAGACTGAAAATGTAGGTATGACGTGATACGTTCGCCAAACCGTGGGCCAATACGTTGAGTCAACACGCAACGTATTGACACGGACGTTTTGAGCACGGCTCGTGTTGAGTATCAAAACGAGCGTATCGAGGCAGCTAGGCTTCTGATTCATCGCCCCACTACCACGTACCCCGCCCGTCCCCTCACACAGCGGCACTGCGCAGGGAGAGGGGCAGCGCCAGCAGCCGCTCCGCAGGAGCAGCCACGGGAGCAGCCGCGGGAGCGGCAGCATGAGCAGCGGCAGCAGGAGCAGCAGCACCGACGGAGCAGCAGCACCGGCGGAGCGAAGTCGTGGAGACGATTGCGGGGGACCGCAGGGGACGAAGAGGGGGGGGGAGCCCACGGACGAAGAGGCCAAGGAACGGGCCGAGGAGGGAAGGACGCAGGGGCACCCCTGGAGAGTGACCTGACCCTGCGGCCACGACGGCAACGACGGAGGCGAGGGTGCGCGCTGACCGTCAGCGCCGAAGCACGCATCCAGGGGAAGAGCCCAGTCCGCGAGACGCGGCACTCAAGACACTGCTGAACGGTGCCGCGGCCTCTCCCCGATCTCGCCCCGGCCCCCAGGAGCAGCAGCAGCGGATGGAATGGGCACCCGGAGGACGACGACCGCCTCGGCACGAGGTCCTCCTTCCGCCCAACAAGACTATAGAATTACCCCAAGAAGCCCGGGGGGTGGGCGAGGGTTCTTGTCGTGAGTTTGGTATACAATATTCCCTCACTGGAGCGTTGTTCTGAGATGCTAAGCGTGGCCGCGGGCGGTAGAACCTAACTTGGGCGGGCAGGGCGTGGTATACAACAGAATATTGCGGACTCCTCATCCTCCAGAACCCCGCCCCCGCATCCTGCGGCTAGTGCACCAACTCCAGCCCCTCCCCATGCGGATTCTGGGGTCCGCGGTGGCTGAATCCGCGGCTGCTGCTGCAGCCTGCGATCCCCCCTCCTCCTCCTCCTCCTCCTCCTCCTCCTCCTCGTCCTCCTCCTCCTCCTCCTCCTCCTCCTCCTCCTCCTCCTCCTCCTCCTCCTCCTCCATATACTCCTCCTCCTCCGGCCAAGCTGCCGTGGTCCTGAAGAGGTCCAGCATCCGCTTGGTGACCAGGAAGCCGCCCGAGATGTTCACGGAAGAGATCAGCACCGACGCGTACGCCAGGCCCTGGGCTGTGGCGCCGCCGCCCGCGCCCATGCACATCAGGCCGCCCGCGGCGGTGAGGCCGCTGATGGCGTTGGTGACGGCCATGAGCGGCGTGTGCAGGGCGTGGGTCACGCCCCACCTCGGTGCCCGGCGGGAGGTCCTCCTCCTCCTCCTCCTCCTCCTCCTCCTCCTCCTGCTCCTCCTGCTCCTCCTCCTCATGCTCCTCCTCCTCCTCCTCCTCCTCCTCCTCCTCCTCCTCCCTCCTCCTTCTCATCCTCCTCCTCTTCCTCCTGCTCTTCCTTCTCCTCCTCTTCCTCCTCCGCCTCCTCCAGTCTCGGGCCAAGGCCGCGCGGCCCGGCCCCGCCCCCATGGCCTCGACCTCCCGCCGGCCTGCGCGGGGTCCGGTCGAGTTCTGATCTGGGACCGAGTGTAGACCTGGGGCCGACAGAGCGTTGCAGAGTGGTGGGCGCTGCTGAACTGGGGGGGCGAGTAGCAGCGGAGAGGGCGAAGAGGCGTGCGAAGCTCGTGCCCCTGTTGGGCCCCGTTGTGGGGCCCCGTCAGAGGCCGTAAGGTGCACAAGAAGCGCGAGCCTTTCTTCCCCATTCCATAATTGTGGGTCGGGCATGTCCTCCTACAGACGGACTTTGGAAGAACATTTTGAAAGAGTCAAGACTCTGCAAACATTGTCAAAACATCGCCCCCTGACTATTTTCTGCCTGTTCTCGAATATTCCTCCTGTAGAGGGACACGCCCGGCTTGGCTATAATTAGTGATCGCCCCCCCCCCCCTCCCCATTACGCAACGCCCAATGATGACCTGGAGCCGGTCCTCCGAGACACCCTTTCGGAGCCGTTGCCACTCGCAGAGGGTGGGGGCCGCTGCCTCGACGGGCCGAGGTGAAGCACGCAGTCCACACAAACACACACACACACACACACGCACACAGTTCTACTTCGCCCTACACACTAAATTCTAATTCGTCGTCTTGTCACCCTCGTTCACCTCCACCTCCTCAAACTCATCGTTATCCTCCAAGCTCCAAGCCCTCCACCTCGCCCTTCTCCCCCTCCGCCTCCACCTACGCCTTCTCTTCCTCCTCCTCTTCTCCTCTTCTCCTCCTCCTCCTCTTCTTCTTCCGCATCCTCTTCCGCCCCCTCCTCCTCCTCCTCCTCCTCCACCTCCTCCAAATACACCTCCCCTCCACCTCCTCCCCTCCTCCTCCTCCTCCTCCCTCCTCCTCCTCCACTTCGCCCCACTCCTCCTGCTGCCCTACCCTTCCGCCTTTCTGCTACCCCTCCCCCCCTCCGCGTCCCCGCCCAACCGCATACAGAACTCCTGCTCCCCACCTCCGACCAACGTCTTTTCTCCTCGTGCACCGGCCCAGAAGAGAGAAGAGGAGGTCGGAAGAGGAGAGAGAGACGAGGAGAGGAGAGAGGAGGGATAGGAGGACGAGGAGGAGGCGGAGAGAGGACGGGAGAGAGGACGGCAGAGGGAGGAGGAGGAGAGGAGCTGGAGGAGGAGGATATGAGCGAAGGAGGAGGCGCGGGCTGGGCGATAGGCGGAAGGGAGGAGGGGAGAGGATGAGGAGGAGCCGAGGCAGAACGCAGGAGCTAGGAACCACCAAAACAAAAAAGAACAAAACAACAAAAAAAAAAAAAAACAAAAAAAAAAAAAAGACAACAAAGAAAAAACCCACATAACAAAAACAAAAAAAAAAAACCAAACAACACCACAACCAACAAAAAAACACAAAACAACCAACCCCCCCCCCCCCCCAACCCACCACCACAAACAAACAAAAAGAAAAACACAGCAAAACACAAAAAAAAAAAAAAAAGTAAAAAAAAAAACAAAAACCAACACAAAAAGCCAAAAAACAAAAACACAACACCAAAAAACACAACAAAAAATCAAACAAAAAAAAAACAAAAAAAAAAAAAGCCAGGTAGGGACCCGGAGGAGGAGAAGCAGGAGGACCAGGAGGAGGAGGAGGACCCGCCACCACCTCCACCTCCTCCTGCTCCCGCTGCTGCTGCTGCTGCTGCTGCTGCTGCCGCCCCCTCTGCTCGGAGGAAGGCCAGCGGACAGACCACGGCGGCTCACGCGCCCCGCCCCGGGCCCGGACACCCCCCTCCGCTCTCGAAAAACCGCCCCCCGGACCACTCCCACGGGTCCCTCCTGACCTGGGCGCGCCTCGGGGCGGCCGCAGTGCCTGCCGCGGCGGCGATCGAGACGCCTCCACGGGGGGCCCCCTTGGAGGAGGCCGGCGCACGCCGGGGAGGGCAGCCGTGGCCTCGAAGGGCGGCGGCAGTGCCGCGGCGACGAGGGGCCTCCACGGGAGGCCCAGTCGAGGACGACGAGCGCCCGGGAAGCCCGCCGTGGCCTCGGGGCGTGTCCGGCCCCTCCAGGAGGCCTAGAAAAATGAGGGGGCCCTGGGACACACAAATAAATACACACAAATAACAGGAATTCTCCCAAATTTTCAGGGTTTGTGTCTTCCCCTCCACTTCCCATATTTTCCTATATTTTCTGGGTAACCGACGATTAATTGTGTCTGTGTGTTTTTGTCCCTCCTGAGTATACATATATATATAACTATATATATATATATATATATATATATATATTTAATATAAAAAAAAACAAAAAAAAAAAAAAAAAAAAAAAAACACGACGGACGCCAGGGAGTGCCCCGGTGGCCTCGGGGCGGCGGCAGCCGCGGCGACGAGGCGCCTCCCCGGGAGGCCCAAGGAGAGAGGACGAAGAGAACGCAGGGGGGAGAGTCCGCCGCTGCCTCCGCGGCGGCCCTCCTCCGGCCTGGGGCTCCCCGCGGACCTCCTCCGGCACAGGACGTCTCCGCGCGCGCTGCGCGCAGAGCTCCCAGCGCGGCCCCCTTCCCCGCGGGGCAGCCCGGCGCCCCCGATCCACTCTTTGGTGGTCCTGGAGCCCGAAACAGTCGGAGTTGATCGGGGAGGACACGCGAGGGGACACAAGAGAGCCCTCCGAGGGCCACCGTGCCACGGGAATGCAAGCAGGCATGGGTCGCGGAGCTCAGGGCACAGGGGTACCCTTGATTTGGCAGGGTCGACCTACTAATCAGTCTCGACTGTAGCGGGTCCCGTGAGGCCGAAACCGAAGAAGCGAAACAAACAAGCAACAAACGGATCACGAGAGTCATGCCCTCGGAGATCTGGCCCCCTCCGCGCGGCCTGACTGGGACGCCCGAAATTGGTACGGTAAAAATGTGCAACATGCCCAAAAACAAACGTTGTCCAACACCGACAGCGGCCGCTGTTGGGCGGGCGGCTTTTTGTCTTCAGAGAACAGCGCCCGCGGCGGCGAGGACAGCGACTCCTCTTCACAGTGAGCAGGATCTGCTGTCGGTCTTTGTACTTGTACCCCGTCTTTCCGTAATTACCCATTTCGATCTCGGGGACGGCCAAGAGGGGGGCGTCCAAGAGAGGGGGGCGCAAATCATAGCCGGGGGCATGTGCGCGGCCCAAGGGCGGGCCAGGGACGTCATGAAACAAGACGAGGCACCCTGAAATCTGAGGAAATATCGTGGCCCACGCCATGATATCCACCTCCCCTAGTCATCCCCCCCCCCCCCTTGGCCGCCCCCGACGATCGTCCCGATCGGAGACCTGGCCTTAAGTCGGGCTTGTCCCCCTACAGGGGGATTTTCGACGAGAAATTTAAAAAAATACCCCAGAAATACCCCCAAAATACTAAAAACATAGTCTGGGGACTATTTTTTTAATATGTTTTGGCCTTTTTGGAAAATGTTTGGGGTATGCTTATTTTTTCGTCGAAAAATCCCCCTGTAGGGGGACACGCCCGACATAAACCTGGCCCCCTCCGCGCGGTCTGGCGGCTGGGCCCCCGGCACGACCTGGTAGCCCGCCGCGCCGGCGAGGCCAAAGGTGTTGAGCATGGCCAGGAAGCTTGGGTCGCCTGGCGCTGGAGCAGGAGGAGGAGGAGGAGGAGGAGGAAAAGGAGGAGGAAAAGGAGGAGGAGGAGGATAAGGAGGTCTGACGCCACGAGCGGGAGAGCGCTCGGCGGCCTGGCTAAGAAAAGATAGGAGGAGGAGGAGGAGGAGGAGGAGGAGAGGAGATGAGAGGAGGTGGGGGGAGGTGAGGAGGAGGAGGAGGAGGAGGAGGAGGATGAGGAGGAGAGGAGGAGGAGGAGGGTGAGGAGGAGGAGGAGGAGGAGGAGGAGGAGGAGGAGGAGGAGGAGGAGGTTGTGAGCTGGGGTCGCCGCCCAGGCTCGCGGCGAGCAGCGCCGCCGAGCCCCCGCTGATGGTCAGCGACGTGGTCATGGCCTCCTGTCGTGCGGCCGCACGCGTGCACAAGTCGGGTCGGGCGAAAGGGGGGGATAGCAAAGGGGGGGGTTGAGAATCAGCTCACGTAGCTGATTTTCCCGGCGCCTCCCGGCGCCGGAAGCGGCTATGTATCCAGGAATGGGCCCCTCGGTGAGGCCGAAACCAGCTGCATGCAGCAAATTTCGTAACCCCCCCTTTCCCAATCCCCCCCTTTCGCCCGACCCGAATAAGCAAGACAACCTTTTTTGATCCGCGGGTCGAGAGCGCACCTCTTCCGGCCGAAGCTGAGCGGGCCGCGCGAAGCTTGAATGAACCAATGAGGGGGAGGAAAAGGGGGGGGGCGCAGCCTCAGAACGAGGCCGGGAGGAGGCAGAGCCTCGGGATCAGGCGGTGCCGTAGTCGACGTACTTGATGCACAAAGAAGACAAACTGCTCGCGGCTCTGCGCATAGTGGGAGAGGCAGAATGGTACAAACAGAACAACTCGGAGCTCCGCGCGGACTTCTCGGACTGCTGGACCCCCCTGGCGGCGCCTCCAGCGCCGCCCCTGGCGCGCGGAGCGCGCCAGGGAGGAGGGTCCAGCGCCGATCCGAGAAATCCGCGAGGACCTCCGAGTTTTTTATGTTTATGTCATGTTTCGAACGTGAGCGCAGACCACACTTTGCGGCACGCACGATGCCGTCGTGCCTGAGTGCGCAGACGAGCTTCAAACTGCTGCTGCGGAGTATCTGGAAGTCGGTAGTGGACAGAGGTGTGCATCGCAGACAAACAAGCAATGTTAAACAAACAAGCAGAAAACAGCCTGGCGCCTTGCCTCGCTTTCGGCGTCTTGGGGGATGGTGTCTGAAGGGGAGTGTGAGGGGTGATCCAGGTCAGCGGGGAAACATCGACCGAGAATCAGCGATACATCGTCGGTGCCTAGATCGGCGAGAGGCCACCGATATCGACTCCGCACGTCTCTGGGCGGGTGAAGACTATCGGACCTGGGCGATTGGGGTTCGATGCATCCACCCCGGACCTTCAGGCACAACGGCAAAACTGGCACTGAGGATGCAAGCCCCTTGGACGCCCATGTCGAAGCGTTTCGAACGGGGCTGGCCGTCGAGAGGGGGTGAAGGATGGACCGAAGAGGCAAGGATGCAAGGGCACCCCTGTTAGGAGGCAACTGCTGGGAGGTTTTCGTCGGAAAGATTAAGGAGAATCAAGCCCCATTTGGGGGCTATTACGCCGGAGTGGGCCTCGGAGTAAGCGGGATTAAACCGGATTAAGCGGGATTAAGCCAGATTAAGCGGGATTAAGCGAGATTAAGCCGGATTTCGGACCAGGGCAAGATCAGAATTTGACCTCCCAGGAGTTGCATCCGAACCCCTGGGAAGGTTACCCATCCTTACCATCGATTTCGACTGCACTCGCCACCAGCGTCACCCCCGCGATGGGGCGGAAGGGGCTCTCGGGTCATGACTCGGGTCTCCAGCAGCCATGCACGGACGATTCAAGCACCCCCAGAGCGCTCTCGACGAGCCGCAGCTGATGGACGGCATCCCGTACCCGTCAGGAGAGCCTCCGGGGACCGGACCAACGAGCAAACATCGTTCGAGGACCTCGAACCCTGAAAGGGACGTGCTCGTCGCTTCGCGGGTCCTTGGCCGGATCCACGACTTCCACCTTCTTGGCCTCCTTGACGACCTTCTTCTTCACCGGCGTGGGGTCGGGCGGCGGCGGCGCGATCACTTCCTTGCCGTCCTTGCAGCAGACGATGGACCTCACGATGATGTCGCCGTCCTCAGCCCCGAGGGCCGAGTTCACGTTTGGCATGAAGGCCTCCGCGCCGCCCTTGCCCGTGATGTGGTTCGACATGTTGAGCATGTTCTGGGCGTACATGGAGGATGCCTGCAGGCCCATCCTGCCCGGAAGGTCGGTGTAGCCGATGATGGTGACACCGTTTTCTGTCTTGTAGCTCTCTCCTGGCTTCGTCAGCGAGCAGTTGCCCCCACCTGCGGCGGCCAGGTCGATGATAACGCTGCCAGGCTTCATGTCCTTCACCATGTAGTCTTCGATCAGCACTGGCGATTTCCTCCCTGGGATCGCAGCAGTGGAGATGATGATATCCACCTCCTTGGCGTTCTTGTGGAAGGTCGCCTTCTGTGCCGCCTGGAACTCAGGGCCTCAGAGACGAGTCCCCCTGATCCAGCCTACTCCGTGGTCTGAAGCCACATTCTGCTTGAGCTGCCCCGGTCCATGCCCAGGCGCGTGCACCCCGATCGAGGATCCAAAGGGCCGTCCCGACTCCGATCGATCGGCTGGAGAAGTGGCCTCACCGAACCCTGACCCACGGATCAGGATCCTCTAGGGCAATCTGGTGCTTCCTGGTGGCAGAGCGTTCAACGATCACGCGAAGTCCCTGACAACCGACGTCATGCAGACACAGGGCGTCGTGACGGGACAGCACCTCCCGACCCCACTGGCATCTTGGGATGTCTCGAGCCGCCTCGACTCGTGATCGACCTGGGCTCCGCAACGGGGCAGACGCGCCCGCCGTGCATTTTTTCACGACGCCCGGATGTCAGAGCCACTCTTCGCCTGCCTCCTCCTACTGCTGCGTCTGCTGCTGCTGCTGCTGCTCCTCCTTCTCTAAGCCCAGGGCTGGACTCCTTGGCATAGCCGCCGGCGCCAGCGCCGTCCTCCTTGAAGTCCACCTTGATCCACTTGCCGCCCATGGAAGTGACCTGGTGAGGCGCAGAAGCCTCGTGCCTCCCCGCTCTGCTCCCTCCCCCCTCCCCCCTCGGCCCTTATTCCCCCATGGCTCTCGGGCCACGGCTCGGCTCTCTGCCGGCCGTTCGGGGCAGGTCCGGCGCTCCTGGGACGCAGTCGACGAGGCGCAGCGGATGGAAACCACCCAAAGAGTTATACCGAGAGCGTTCGAAAGCTTCGGCAGGGATCCTGCCCCGCTCCCGGGGGGGGGCCGGGGAGCGGGGCCCCATCCTCTCCAAACCGGCCTGGTCGCTCACGTCGCGCACGTCCCACGCCCGCACGACGGAGCCCAGCGCGTTGGAGGTCCCCATGGCGGCGAGCCCGGCCACGCCGATGCCGAGCACCATCGTGTGGCACGGGGGGTACTTGCCGGCCGCGGTGATCTCCCCCTGGTGAACGGGAACAGAGAGGGGGGGTCTAGCTCCGGACCTCTGCTCAGTGTGCCCGTTTGGAACAATGCTCCCATGCTGAATCCTATGGGGAGGCGGAGCCCACGTGCTTACCCCACCTGCTTGAAACAGGCGCCCCACAACAGCCAAGATCTATTCCATGGGAGGGGGGCGAGGGCCCGCGCCGATCGGCAAAACAATGAATCAGGAAGCGATCACCTGGTAGAAGCGCTCGAACGCGTAGGCGCCCTCCAGCACGGCGCGGTGCCCGGCGCACTTGGCCTGCGACGAGAGCACGTCCATCTTCTGCGCGACGGCCAGGGAGGCCCCGGGCGAGAGAGGCACCGGCGAGAGCGGGGATCTATCTCTACATTCGCCGCCCTGGGTCCTGAGACCCATGGAACGCGGTGGATATGGACAGGTTTGGGCCCCAGGGGAATAAGACGAAGCCAGGACGAGGCTAAAATCGGACACGCGTAAATCCAGAATCTCTGAGATCCCGCGGATCTGGGGGATGCATCGGGCGCCGCGGCCCTCTCAGAGCGTTCCAGAACGCTCTGGGAGCGTTCGGGGACGCTCCGAAACGGATCTGCCCCCGTCCTAGCGGTCCTGGCCCCGTCCGAGAGGGCCCGCCCACGCACCCAGACCCACCCCCTCCCGGGGTCAAAGGGAGATCGGTGTCGCAGGCGGCGGCTGCGGATCCATCCCAGCCTCGGGGCACGGGCGAGAGCGGCAACCCCCGAGCTGTCCCAGGAGAGGCAAGCCCGGCGCAGCGCGTGCGCGCGGACCTGGCCGGCAGCTCGACACCGTCCAGGCCGAACGTCGCGCCCCCCCGTGGGCCCCCCCACCCCCACCCCGCACGGCAACACCCAGGACCTGGGGGGGAAGAGGGAGCAGGGACGAGGGAAGGGGGGGGGGAGGGAAGGAGCCAGGGGCGGAGGAGCCAGAGGCGAAGGAGGCGGAGGGGGAGGCGGAGGCGGAGGAGGAGGCGGAGGAGGAGGAGGAGGAGGCGAAGAAGACGGAGGAGGTGGACGAAGCGGGGGCGGAGGCGGAGGAGGGGGACAAAGCGGGGGCGGAGGCGGAGGAGGCGGAGGCGGAGGAGGCGGAGGAGGCAGGAGGGGATGAAGCGGGGGATGAAAGACCAGCCCTGCCGCCGAGCGCGGGGCGCTCAAGAGCGCTCTCGCTCGAGCCGCTCCTCCTCCGCCTTAAGCCGCCCCGCGATGGTGATGCGAGGCACCTGGGGGAGGCCCGCTGCCGGTGTCCCGTCGGTCCCTCACCTCCTCGAGGAGGAGGGCGAGCAGGAGCCTCGAGATCCAGGCATTGCAGCATCTTCGCACCGGGAGTCTTCGCCCGTTTTCGGGCCCCGGGACCCTCACGGATCGATCCATGGCTTCGGCTGTCATGTCTGCGAGGGACCATGGTTTCGCAACGTCGGATCTCAGGGAGGAGGAGGAGGAGGAGGAGGAGGAGGAGGAGGAGGAGGAGGAGAAGGACGGAACGGTAGCAGTACACCTGCCCTCCTTGGAGCCTGCCTGCTGGACAAAAGCACCTTCCTACAACAAAGGGCCGAGGGACTTTTCATCGAGACCCAGTCGAGGGCAACACCGATATGAGCTTGAAAGCATGAAAGCGCGCACCTGGGTAGTGCTGCGCACGGGTGCTTGGTGCTGTGTTCTCTCTCTTCCCGCATTCCAGTCCGTTCCCCCTCCTCCTCCTCCTCCTCCTCCTCCTCCTCCTCCTCCTCCCCTCCTCCTCCTCCCCTCTCCTCCTGCCTCATCCCTCCCCGTCCTCCATATACCTCGCCCTCTCCCTCACCCTCTCCACTCCCTCCCCCCTTCCCTCCCCCCTCCTCCCTTAAATCTCGCCTCCTCCTCCTCCTCCTCCTCCTCCTCTTCCTCCTCCTCCTCCTCCTCCACCTCCTCCTCCTCTCCGCCTCCGCCCCCCCTCCCCCTCCTCCTCCTCCTCCTCCTCCTCCTCCTCCTCCTCCTCCTCCACCTCCACCTCCTCCTCCTCCTCCTCCTCCTCCTCCTCCTCCTCCTCCTCCTCCTCCTCCTCCTCCTCCTCCTCCTCCTCCTCCTCCCCCGTCCCCCTCGCTAACCTCCCACGACGACGAGAGGGCGAACGCCTGCCCATCTCACCCCCCCCACATGCCCGTCCTCCCCTCACACCGCGGCCGATGCTGCCATCGCATCAGTCGTCGGCGCCACGCACGAGTGACGCTCGGCAAGAGCGACCTCTGGTGCGCGGCTTCAGAGGGCGCGGGGACCAAAGATCAGAGGCGCACGGTACTGCTGACGCGTCGCACTGAGCGATGGGGGGCCCCGCATGGAAGAAGAGAGCAAGGAATACTCGTGCACATGAACTTTCGGGGCTCCACGCGGACTTCTTTGATCGGCCCCCTTTCCCTGGGGTGCGGAGCGCGCCAGGGGCGGCGCTGGAGGCGCCGCCAGGAGGGTCCAGCGCCGGAGCCGACCCAAGAGATCTGGGCGGAGCTCATACTTTTTTGTTTGCACCCCGCAGTTGCGGATAAGAGTGAGGGGCGGCGGGGACGTCGGCAGTCTGCGAGGCTCTGAAGAAGCCCGCCGCAGGCGCTTAGATGTCACAATCTATACAGCGAGCCCGCCGCAGGCGCCGACGTTTCTTTAAAACAATGGGGGTGGGTCATGAGTGGGTCGCGGGTGGGTCGCGGGCTGGGTCGCGGGTGGATCGCGGGTGGGTCTCGGGTGAGTCGCGGGTGGGTCGCGGGCGGGTCGCGGGGTGGGTCGCGGGCCGGGTCGCGGGTGGGTCGCGGGTGGGTCGCAGGCCGGGTCGCGGGGGGGACAACAACAACAACAACAACAACAACAACAACAACAACAACAACAACAACAACAACAATTACTAGCACGTGGGGACACTCCGTTCTCACCAGTGCCAGGGTTTTCATAGGAGGCGGGCAATACCCCCACTTTGTGGGGGGGCCGGTTCAAGCTCTACCAAATTTCCAAACGACTCTTCGCCACCACCCACACCCAGCTTCCCGCCCTATGACGTTCGGACACTTCACTTCGTGGCATGCGGACGACCGTGGCTACTATTCAGGGCCCCGCGGCCGACGACGACGGCGTGCGCGCGCGAAGAAAAAACGAATGTGTCCCGCATGGTATTATTTGACAGGGATGATGGCCCTGGCAGGTGCGCAACCGTTGTTGCAGAAGTTCGAAAAAGTTGCTCGCAAAAGCCCGTTTGACAGAAATGTTTAAAAAGTGTTGGGTTTCCTACGAATCCGCAAGAGCGCGCGGGATGAAATTTTGACATTTTTTTTTGAAAAACCATTGGTTTTTTGATGTTTTTATGTTAAAATCGCTACGAAAACTAAGGTTTTGGAAGGATTTCGTCTTGCGCGCGCGAATGTCCACTTTACCTTATTTTTTGCAAGGGATTCTTGAAGTTTGGTTATGTTAGAACAAGAAATGTCCACTTTAGCTTATTTTTTGCAAGGGAAAACCGATCGTAACAACAAAACAACCGGATCTGGATGACATCGTTTTACCTGAGGCTTCCTCACGAAAATGATGAAAACGTGGCTGCGGCCTAGGCGCGGCGGGGGGGGCGTGCACCAGGGGGCCCAACAATAATTATTCTTTAGAAGTAATAATATTCAACAACAACAACAACAACAACGCAGCAACAACAAGCAACATCCGCGCAGAGGAGTCCCACCTGAGCCACGCACCCAGTTGCACTTAGTGACCCTTCGGCCCCCTCGCCTGAAATGACTTTTTTGTTGTTATACGGCTCTTCTTTTTGTTTACTCCAGTTTGGCGGCGAGCGAAGGGGGAAATGAGAAGGAGAAGGCCTTCTCAGAAGGCGGCGGGACTTCTCAGAAGCCCTCGCGCCTCTTGAGAAGTCCTCTGTGTCTTCGGGGAAGGCCCAGAAAACTTCTCAGAAGGCCGGGGGACTTCTGAGCCTTCTGGCCTTCTCCTTCTCACTCCCCCCCAGGCTCGCCACCGACCAATGGGGCCCGCACCGATCGGAGTAGGACGAAGTGAGACAACCGCAGCTCAACCTCGGTCCCCCAAAACCCTCCCAGGGTCCAAGCATACGAGTTCTCCTTGCTGCGCCCAGCCGTGGAAACGAGCGGCCCCGCCGAAGGTCCTCCGCCGCCTCCTTCTGCGCCTCCTCCTCCTCCTCCTCCACCGCCCGCCCTATGTCCCGAGCTCGTGGCTGGGTCATCAGCTCGTCGGTCTCATCGTCGTGGTGGTCGTCGTGGTCGTCCTGGGTCGGCGGCTCCGGCCGTAAGGCCTTCTCAATCGGTCCCCGGGCCCCTCCCAAGGCCCAAACGCGCAAGTTGTCCGTGCTGCGGACAGCCGTGGCGACGAGGAGCCCCGCCGAAGGTCATCTGCAGCTGTCTCGGCTCGCCCTCCTCTGCGCCACGGGTACCTCCGGCGAGGGGCCACCCTTGCGCGTGGCTTGATTCAGACCGAGGCGAGGCGCCACCCCCCACGGGTACCTCCGGCGAGGGTCCACCCCCCACGGACCGACCGTCCTGGCGTTCCTCGAAGCAGATGGCCGATTCAGGAAGCCCTGAACAAAGAAAGGTTGTCATCTCTTGGGGCGCACCTTTTACTTCCGCCGCCAGCCTTCCGCCAGCCTTCCGCCGCCTTCCGCCGAGGAAGAGATGGCAACTCCGTCGACCCTCGAAGGCAGGGCAATTGCTGGAACGCTGCATGTCGCAACATCGCCTTAGAACAAAGAACGCTCGCACATACAACTGATCGATGAAACCAGGACCGACTCTGCCAACCATGATCCGGGAACACCCCGTGCAAACCACAAAAGGCTCTCAGACCGTTCTTCCGTAGGACTAGAGGCGGGTCAGGACGCTTCGCCGCTGCTTGCGTGACCGAGGACGCCGAACGCCAACGTTGGACGCCACCGCATGGCACCGACGTGGTGTCCACCAGGGTCACGCCCGCCGCAGTGGCCGCCTTCACGTACTCGGCCCCCTCCGGCAGGCGGCGGCCCACCCAGGCGACGAGCATCTTGCCTGGAGGAGGAGGAGGAGGAGGAGAAGGAGAAGGAGAAGGAGGAGGTGGAGGAGGAGGAGGAGGAGGGGGGGATGGGGCGAGATGGGGAGGGGAGGAGACGCAGGGAGGAGGGGATACAGGGAGTGCGCAGGCCTCCTTCTCCTCCTCCTCCTCCTCCTCCTCCTGCTCCTGCTCCTGCTCCTGCTCCCGTTCCTGCTCCTGCTCCTGCTCCTCCTCGTGCTCCTCCTCCTCCTCCTCCTCCTCCTCCTCCTTCTCAGTAGTATTATACTTATCATTATTCATGTTATTATGCTACGCTGTATGATTACGACTCGTCATTCATACCATTATCATGTAAACACAGTTCTTCTACTACCCACTACTCCTGCATTATCCTCCTCCTCCTCCTCTTCTTCTTTGTCCTCGTCCTCGTGCCCGTGCTCGTCGTCGTCTTCGTCGTCGTCCTCATCCTCCTCTTTCTACATGTCCTCCTCCTCATCCTCCTCCTCCTCCACCTCCTCCTCCTCATCCACCTCCTCCTCCTTCTGCTCCTCCTCCTCATCTTCCTCCTCCTCTCCCTCATCCTCTTCTTTGTTGTTATTGCTCCTCCTCGCCCTCCTTTTCCTCCTCTTCATCCTCCTCCTCCCTCACTCCCTCCCTCCCTCCCTCTCTCCATCCCTCCCTCCGTCCCTCCTCTCCTCTCCCTCGTCCTCCTCCTCATCCTCATCCTCCTCCTCCTCCTCTCCTCATGCTCCTGCTTCTCGTCCTCCTCCTCCTCCTCCTCCTCCTCATCATCATCAGCATCATCATCATCATCATCATCAGCAGCAGCATCATCATCATCAGCAGCATCATCCTCCTCATCATCATCAGCATCAGCATCAGCATCAGCATCATCATGATCATCATCATCATCATCATCATCATCATCATCATCATCATCATCAGCATCATCCGCATCATCATCATCCTCATCATCATCACATTCATCAGCATCATCATCATGAGTATCAGTATCATCATCATGACCACCAAAAACAACAAACCCTCTTCCTCCTCCTCCTCCTCCTCCTCCTTCTCCTCCTCTTCCTGCTCTCCTCCTCCTCCTCCTCCCCATCCTCCTCCTCCTTCTCCTCCTCCTCCTGCTCCTCCTCCTCTTCCTCCTTATTTTCTTCCTCTTCCTCCTCTTCGCGGCTGGGAAAATGAGGGCAGAGCGGGACCTGGAATTAGTTTGGGGGTAGGTGGAGGAGGAGGTGGAGGAGGAGGAGGAGGCAATGAGATGGGGAATGTCCACCTTCCGTTCGAGAACCAGGTTCTCGGCCTGGCGAACTGCTGCGGAGGAGTGACACCCCTGAGGCCCAAGAGGACGGCACCATCGACGACAGAATGGAGCCCTCCCTCCTTTCGCCTCCCTCCTTCCCTCCGCCTCCCTCCCTCCCTCCCTCCCTCCGCCTCCCTCCTTCCCTCCCTCCGTCCATCGATCCGCCTCCCTCCCTCCCTCCCTCCGCCTCCCTGTCTCCCTCCCTTCCTTCCCCTGCCTCCCTGCATCCGCAGACGCGTCCTCGCTTCCCTGCCCCTGTTCCTCCCTCTCTTGCCATCGCTGCACGCACGTTGTCCGCTCTGGTCGGCCTCTCCTGCTCCGCGAGCTCTTGCTCACTCGGGCGTCGCAAGAAACGATCACCAGACAAGAAGCCTGTCTCACACCTGTGCCGCGCTGCACGGCGGAGGCGCCGAGGAAGAACGCATCGGGTGAGAAATGCCCCGTCTCGCTGGGCCCGGGATATGTTTCGCTTGCAACGGCTTGGGGTACCCTCCTTTCCCTGAAGTCTGCCAAGACCCTGGATCTCGCGCCGCCCCAATAGCACAGGTGGAGAACATCCATGTACATATCTAGCGCCGCCCCGCTAGTACAGGTAGGGAACGTCCATGGACGTCTCTCCTCGACGACACTTCAATGTCAGACACTACCACCTGTATCGCGGGGCGCGTGTTTTTCTTGCTTTGGCACCCCCTCCTGGCTTAAGGTGTTGAGCAGTGGTCCGAAGGCGGGGCTGCGGCAGACGCACATGACAAGAAGCCCTACGCCAAGAGATCTGGGCACACGCTCCTCGTCGACCCTTGAAGGTCCCGAGGTGCCTCAGAGCTTCTGTCGGTGCCTGGGGCCGTCGGGGGGGGGCAAGGAACCTGCGTGGGCGGCAAATTTCAGATTCGACTTACCAGCCTGGAACATATCCCTATCCCTGAGCTGGGCATCGCCTCATCACAAAGCCAATCTTAGGGATTCCCTTAGTTTTTCAGGGCGCATCCCTAAGATTGTCATCGCCTTTAGGCGTGTCAATCTTAGGGATAGGGATACGTTCGAGGCTGGTGATCGACGTGTCTGCTGTAGTCTGGCCTTCAGCCGGACTTCGGGCACGGGGCAGTTGCAGCTCGGAGCCTGTGTGGGGCTGCACGGCTGCACGGGGTGCCAGCTTTCTCTTGACGGCCGGATTTCCACCACCACCACCATAAGTTGGAGGGGGAGGGGGTCCTCCTCCTCCTCCTCCTCGTCCTCCTCCTCCTCCTCGTCCTCCTCCTCCTTCCGTGGTGGTAGTGGAAAACAGGCTCATCATGCTCTAGCCCCTCCCGCCCCCAGATCGGCCAAAGCGGCGCCTTTCATGCCCCCGAGATCGGCGGTGGGCACCGGGTTGATGGCGAAGAGCAGCTCGGACTCGGCCACCACCTTCAGGATTACGCCAACAACACCGCCCATGCCAGGAATACGACATCCCCGGGGCCAAAAAAAATCGAGGGCGCATCTCCGATCGAATGCGGACGGGATAGACTGATTCTCGGCACATGGCTCGAGACATCTCCGGGGGGCGCCTGTGGGAAAGGCCACCTCTCGCTCGCGGCATTCGCTGTAGGGGGACCCTCCTGGACATGGGATAGATGTCGGTGTGTCGCGTCCCATCTCAGAACACCTTGGCGCGCGGGAGCACGGTGCACCCGACCGCAGCATACGCCGCGTCGCTCACACCGCTGCCCTTGCCAGCGCCCTCCTCGACGATGATCTTGTAGCCCTTCTCGATGAACTTCTGCGCCACGGAGGGGACCATGCTGACGCGTTTCTCATCGCCTCCTTCCCTCAGAATGCCGGTGTTCAGATCTCTCACCTGGACTCGCCCCCTGGCCAGCACGCGAGCCCGCGACGACAAATTTCGGATCATGGCTTGGCTTCTGATTGGTTCCACGGGATCCTGCGCACCTATAGCAAAACGGCTGCCAAGCACAGGTTAGAGAGGAGGCGCTCCTTGGCATGAAATGCTGGAGTTGCTGGCAGCAAATGCTTCGCAGTCAAACCAAAAACACCAAGTGTCAGAGTGCATCTTCTGACCATCCCAAGAGAAACACAGCAAGACCAAGTCAACCAACCATATACCTGCTATACCTGCCTTTGTACCGTCCGTCTGGCGGCTAGCTCGACACGGGTTTGGTACTAAGAGCTCCGCAGGGTGGGGGTCAACGAGCCAACTGAAGGTACCCTGGATGCAAACATGTTAGCGTCTCTCTTTTATTTCCGCCGTCTCCGCCGGCGGGCCCGCTACCATTCAACTTCTGAGGGCTTCCGCTGTCCTGCTTCGCCGGTCGCTTCTCGGCGAAGTCGGCGGCGGGTCGGCGGCTGGGTCTCGGGGAAGGTCGCGGCTGAATCGCGCGTAGGTCGCGGGACGTGTCGCAAAGGGGTCTTGTGGAAGGTCACGGGTAGGTAGCCGGGCGGGCCGCGGGTGTGTTGCGGGGCGGGGCGCGGGTGAGTCGCGCGGCGCATCGCGCGTGGGCTGCGGGTCGGTCGCGGATGGGTCGCTGATGGAACGCGGGAGGGTCGCGGATGGGTCGCGGGGCGGGGCGGGGCGGCGACGAAGACAAGGTGAACGACAGCAAGAAGAATCCGTACCACGGGACCCTAATTCAGCTGTCCACCCAGGAGCAGAGCGAGAGTGTTGGAACTCTTCGCTTTAACGAGGGTGCAAACTAGTGCTGCGTGCCAGTGCTATTCGTTGGTGCTGGGGGTCGGCGTTCGGTCCGTCGTGTTGGTGCCGCGTGCGAGCATTCGGTGCAGCGCTGGACCGACTGTATTGCCGCCTTGGCCTCGGCAAGGAGAACGCAAGCAATACGTTGAGGCGTCGACTATTGCTGGCTAGATTCTGCGCGACACGTCAAGCTGAATATGCGACAGAACCGCACGAAGCTAAAGCACGCACCTCGATCAAGGCACAAGAAGCAGTACACACGCTGCACCTGCAGAGAGCCGTCGTGGCATGCACTATACAAACATCTTCGCGCACCGACAAACAGATATGACATCCCGGAGCTGCTGCTGCTGCTGCTGCTGCTGCTGCTGCTGCTGCTGCTGCTGCTGCTGCTCCTGGGCCTCCCACTGCTGCTCATCGCGTCTCCTCCTCCTCCTCCTCCTCCTCCTCCTCCTCCTCCTCCTCCTGCTGCTCCTGCGCCGCAGCTGCTGCTTTTGCGTAGGATCTATATCGTATTTGGACATTGCTCCTTCTGCTGCTGCTCCTCCTGCCGCTCCTTGCGCGGCTGCTCCTGCTCTAGTCACTCCGCTGTGTTACTGCTCTTACTGCTCCTGCGCCTGCGACTCCTGCAACTGCGCAGCAGGTGTCGTGCACTTGTGCTGTGCATCAGTCTTACGCTCTGCGCTTGATGTCATGGTTGCCTCCTGCTTTGCCCCTGAAGTGACCAGAGTGACCCTCTGCGGCACAGTCGGTCCGACAATCGCCGGAAGACCCCAGCACCCATCACGCACTCAGCGCCTGCCCGTGCTCACCCTTCCTGCCTCCCCGAGGACGCAGCCGTGCCCGAGGGGAAACAGTGGGGGGGGGCGGCCACAGTGAGGGAAACACCGACCTGGAATCGGCGACACATCGCCGATGGATCGGCGATAGGCCTCCGACAGCAAGTCCGCACCAGCATGAGACAAGATGTCAGACCGAAGCGACAGAATGTGGAAGAAGATGGTGCAGTGCTTGCGCCTGACGGCCTCGCTTCCAATCGATAGGCCTGCTTGCTCGGCCGCTCGCCGCGCCTCCGCCCCGCGAGGATCGAGGACTTCATAGAGCTGCAGAGGCGCGGCTGCGCCTCCTGCCCTCTCGCGGGAACCCCGCTACCCAGCAGCATGGTCCTCGGCCGCGGCGCGCCTCGTCTTCCGCACTCTCGGCCCGGATCGGGGCAGGAGTGAGCCCCCACCGGCGATGCTTGGGCCGATGGGGGGTCGCCGCCCGACCACCTGCGCCCCCCCCGCTGACGCGGCCCCTGCGCGGGCTCCTCCACGCCCTCCTCGGCGAGCCGCCGCAGGGCGCCAGGAACTCTCGCGAGAGCCCGTCGCCGCGCACGCCTCGCGCGGTCGCAGAGGCACCCCGGGCGCCCTGCGGGAGCTCGGCCTCTCCACCTCCGGCGGGGAGGGGGGGGGGAGGGCGGCGAGGCGGGGGCGGGCGCGCAGGGGGGGAGGCGGCGAGCCTCGATTGAGGAAGCGGTGGTTAGAGGCTCCCGCTTGGACTTCTGCACGTCCCCTCGGGCGGTGGGCGTAGGCTCCATCGGCTGCGCCTCGCCGAGGGCCTTCTTCGGCGGCGAGCGAGGGGGGGGAAATGAGAAGGAGAAGGCCTCCTCAGAAGGCGGCGGGACTTCTCAGAAGCCCTCGCGCCTTCTGAGCAGTTGTTCTGTCTTCGGGGAAAGCTTCGAAAACTTCTCAGAAGGCCGGGGAACTTCCGAACCTTCTGAGAAGGCCTTCTCCTTCTCACTTCCCCCCCTCGCCCGCCGCCGATGTTTCTGGGAATCGCCCCGAGCAGCCGACTGCGGCCCTGGCTGCGGCCCGAAGGCCACACGGAAGAAGCTCGACGTGGCGGAGGAGGAGGAGGAGGAGGAGGAGGAGGAGGAGGAGCAACAGAGTCGTTGAACAAATCGTGATCGCACCTCCCGGCACCATATTTTTCCCATGCAGGCTCACCTGCTTGATGCCGCGCGATATTGCAGCTTGTCGTAAAGTAGCTGTGCGGCTGCTGTCGGCCACCGGGAACCTCGCGCAAATTCTATGACATGCGACGTTATACCGTAGGGTGAGATGCTATGCGATGTAATGCTGGTAGAATGGAGGCAAGCTGGACAAGGAGGAGAGAGGACGAGTGCAAACCCAAGAGGCATTGACGATGTTGCAATCAACTCTCCCTCCAAGCTCTCTCTTCGTTGGTCCCTACACAAGAACGTATTTTCACTGCGGGCAGTGCCACATTGGAAGACAACAGTTTGCGAATCCTCAACCGTGCCAGAACACTGTTCATGGCACTTCAGCGCCGCGAATCAACGTGACTGTCACGTCCTGACGGTCCTAAATTGTGCTAGAGCGCTATTCCAGGGACTTCAGCTACGCGAATCAGCGGCACTGTTGCGTCCTGGCGATCCTGACCGTGCCAGGAAACCAGTCCCTGGATTTCAGCCATATGAATCCTGTAAACTGTCAGGATGGTGCCAAAGAAAAAACGCAAGTGTGCGGCGCTTGGGCTAGAGCCACATTTTGGAAAGGAAACGCCCTCCACCCAAAACCGCTGCAACCTTTTGAAGCAAATGTGCGCGACGCTTGGGCGAGAGCGACATTTTGAAAACCACCCGCCCTCCATCCGTGAGTGCGCTGCAAACTTTTCAAACAAATATGTGCGGCGCTACAGCGGGAGCCACATTTTGAAAATTGCCCGCCCTCCATCTGGGAAGCTGTTGCAAATTCCTAGCTCCCAGGTCAGAAAACAGTGCAAAAATATTCAAGCGAGACTCCCGACCGGCGATCCCGATTCGTCTGGGGGAGCGACGGTGTGGAGTTACTAATAAATGAGGTCTGATAGTCCTAGCTCGAGCCAAACTCCACTCCTGGGACTTCAGCGCCACGCATTGACGTGATTGTTCCGTCCTGGCAATTTTATGCCGTGCCAACAGGCCAACCCTGGGATTTCAGCCATACGAACCCTTGAAACGACTGCAAACTATGATCATGAATGTGCGCGGCGCTTGGGCGAGAATCACATCTTGAAGACCGCCCGCCCTCCATCCGTGAAACTGCCGCGAGCTTTTTAATCAAATGTTCGCAGCTCCAAAAAGAGAGCCACACTATCGAAAACGTCCCGCCCTCCATCTGTGGAACTGCTGCAACTTTCAAGCTTCAAGATCAGACACGATGAGGAAGTATCATGCCAAACGCCCAGCGTGCCCTACCGACACGTCCCGGGGAGCGATAGGGGGGGCGTCATGTTGAAAAAAGGATGGAGGGGAGAGGCGGATAGGCGCAGAGAGATCCTGAGAGGAGATAGGAAGAGACGACAAAAGTGGGCGGGCATGAGAAGGCACACGAGTAGACGGACACGCGTGTGGGACCAGCGGGCGCAGACAGGAATCGACGCGCAGTTTTCCTCCAAAGGCAAGAGGCATGAGGCGGTCTCAAGTTTCAAGCTGCACTCATCAGCGAGGCAGGGCCCTCAAAGAAAGGCGCCGCGCTGCTGCACACATCAGGGCCAGACTACGCCTCTGAAAGGTCGTCGTTGAAGTACAGGTGGATCACAGGGATGTGGTCGTCTGGGTCTATACCAAGGCGAATGAACTCCTCCGTCTCATCCTTCATGCCGTTCTCCTCAAGCGTCTTGTTCATGTTGAGCGGCTTGCCAAGGCGTTTCCATGTGTAGCTCGCCGCATGCGCATTGAAGATCAGGAACCGCTTCTGAATCTCCTCGACCGTCTCATCCACTGCAACCTCCAGCATGTTCTTCTGCTTCGTCATCAGGTTCACGATCTCTATTCTCCGGGTGCGCGAAGCCGCGCTGCCTATCAGATACCTGGGAGTTCACCAGCTGTGCACCAGAGCCCACCCTGGCTGGGCCGCTCCCGGGCCCAGGATCGGTGGACGTGCCCTCCTGGCTCTGCCGGGCAAGCGCAGACCACCGACCCTGGGCCTATAGGACAGGACCGGCCGGGATCGGTGCTGATGCATGATTGGCGCCCTCGGAGCCCACACATCCGGCGTCTCGACTTTTCCGAGACACGGGCCCCCGACCCCCCACGACCACTTTCCTGGGACCGGCTCCTCAGCCCGAGCCGTTTTTCTGACTGTCCCGAGGCCCGTCGAGGGCCCCGAGAGGCCAAAAACTACGAAAGACCCCGTCTCGATTGTCTTCGAGACGCCCGATGTCTGGGAGTGCCTCGCGTCTCCCCACCACGGCGTGCTGCGATTGGTCGGCCAGTTGGACTCGGGGCCCTGGGGGGGAACGTCGATGTACCTTTATGTCGGGCCTGTCCCCCTACAGGGGGATTTTGGACGAAAAACAAAAAATATTCAAAAAGTGCTCAAAAGATGCCCCCAAATACTCAAACAATAGTCCCCGTACTACTTTTTGACCAGTCTTGAATGTTCCCCCTGTAGAGGGACAGGCCCGACTTACATGCACCTGGGGAGACCCTCGCGGCCCGCCCGCCCAGTCCACCGTTCCCTTCGCCCCCCGCCCACGAGGGGGGGCGCGTGCCGAGGGGGCCCCTGTCACCCCTGCCTCGGCTCGAGGCCGCTCCAGGCTCGAGGCATCCGGGCGCCCTTCGGGCCGTGCGGGGCCTCAGGGGGGCGCCCTCGGGACCAGGTGGCCGGACGGGCCAGGAGGAGGAGGAGGAGGAGGAGGAGGAGGAGGAGGAGGAGGAGGAGGAGGAGGAGGAGGAGGGGCAGGGCGACAGGGCGCAGCGAGCGTCGCCGAGGCACCGGCCCCACGGGCAGTAGATCTCCTCGAGCCCCGTCTCGGGGTGGATGTGCGTCTTGGGCTCGCCGGTCTCGGGGTTGAACCAGTGGGAGATGTCCGTGCCAGCGGCATCGATGATGGGCTGCGCCAGGGGGCCCGAGTACTCCAGGAGGAGGGGCGTGAGGTCGTAGACCTTGCCGAGGTAGGAGACCCAGCAGTCGTGGGCGGAGCTGTGCTGGGCGACGTCCGCTGCCGTGTAGTACCGCTGGAGCGCGTAGGCCTTCGGGACGTCACCCTTGTGAACGGACTCGGCAAACACTGGCAAGCTCGCCTGCGCCACCATCGTGGGCCAGCCCCCCGCGTCCTCCACGGGGTCAGCGGGGGATGCAGCGGGCAGTGCGGAGCCAGAGCTGCTACATGGGCTACACACTGAGCGGCGTGCAGCAGCAACGGCGATCGGGGTCGTATAGTCGACCTGTATCATAAGGATGCACGGAAAGGATGCAGGGGGCTTCGAAGGCCGTGTCGGAGCTTTTCGGGAACGGCGCGGCCAATGAAAGTGGCCAAGGGTGGACCGAGGAGGCAAGCATGCAAGGTATCCTCGGGAAGGTTGCCCATCCTTACTATGCGGGTTGACTGTAGTTGTGGAATGGCGCGTGGACCCCAGACAGTGGGTGCGCACCTGGCCAGTTGCGTGCGCAAGGACGATGCGGCAAACCCGCGAACTTCTGCCGAACAACTTCCCGAAGAAGTGAAAATAACAACTCATCGAATTTTTGGCCGCGAACGAACCCGCCAACTCGTGCCGAACAACTTCCTGAACAACTGAATAACATATCTATGAAGCTTCCAACGCAACAAAAAGCCGCGAAGCTGTGCCGAACCACCTCCCGACCAAACAGAAAACCCTCAACTTGCAATGATACATCTGGAACTTTAACCAAACCAACGAAAGGCAACAAATACGCGCACTGCAATCGGCTCGCACAAACATTCAAGGATTGCTAAATACTAAACGTCGCTGAATACTAAGACTGCTCGATCAACAACTGTTTTTGCCGTTTTTCCCTACCTAGGCTCTGCCTAGAAGGGTTCTTACCCTGTTTGCTTAAAGGGCCGGGCAGTGCAACCCGCCCCGGGCGGTTCCCCCGGCATCCGCCCCGTGGTTCCCCCAGTGACGTCCCCTTAGCTTAGCGTTGCTTATCTTATCTTAGCCTAGCATGTTTCATCTTAGCTTAGCTTAGCTTCATCTTAGCTCAGGTTTATCTTAGCTTAGCTTACTTTCATCTTAGCTTCGCCGAGCTTTAGCATAGCAGAGCACAGCATAGCATAGCAGAGCGTAGCACAGCACAGGGCAGCACAGCATAGCATAGCAAAGCCCAGCATAGCACAGCATAGCGCAGCATAGCATAGCATAGCATAGCGCAGCACAGCACAGCACCGTACAGCTTAGCTTAGCTTAGCTTAGCTAAGCCTAGCCTAGCTTAGCTTAGCTTAGCTTAGCCTCGCTTAGCTTAGTTTAGCTCAGCTTAGCTTAGCGCAGCATTAGCATAGCATAGCACAGCATGGCATATCATAGCATAGCATAGCGCAGCATAGCATAGCGCAGCATAGCATCGCATAGCATAGCATAGCATAACATAGCATAGCGCAGCATAGCATATCATAGCATGGCTTAGCTTAGCATAGCACAGCGCAGCATAGCATAGCATCGCATAGCATAGCGCAGCAAAGCGTAGCATAGCACAGCGCGGCATATCATAGCATAGCATAGCATGGCGCAGCACAGCATAGCATAGCATAGCATAGCGCAGCATAGCAAATCATAACATAGCCTAGCATATCATAGCATAGCGCAGCATAGCATAGCATAGCATAGCATAGCGCAGCATAGCATCGCATAGCATAGCATAGCGCAGCATGGCATAGCAGGTGTAGATGTTAATGTAGCTGTCGGTGTAGATGTAGATGCTGCTTTCCTAGATGCTCCAACTCCTAGGTAGGGTCGCACTGGGATAAGTATGTTTCGCAATGCTAGAGAGCCAACCCCCAAAAAAGTAATTACCTGAACGATACATGCTTCCAACACATAATTTCATCAAAAACACGGTTGCTCACTGAAGTGTTGCTTTACCGCTGCTGAACTAAAATCTAAGTGAGATCTCTCCCTGCATTCCACAGTGTACTCACCACGAATACATATTAAAGAAGACGGATGACTTCGCGCATAGCCTCAAAAATCGTCTCTGAATTGAAACGCCCTCGACGGTGAGGGTGAAACCCACGTATTGCGATAGACGGAAATACAACACGACTCCGATAGAAAGCCCTCAGGGCTACACCGAGGCGCACAAGCGAGATAAGAATGCAAGACGCTGCTAAAATATTCCAGAACATGTTCAAGATTAGCATGCAACTAGTTATTGAGTACCATCGTTGTGCTCTAAGTTGCTGCAAGGGTGGTTTATATGCTACGTGAAACTTGCGGGATCAATCATACAACCAGACTACAACAAAAGCAAACTGTATAACAACAGTGCACAAAACATATATCATGAGTGCACACTTCAAGATAGCAGTGCACAAGTCGACAATGTATAAATAACGCACACTTCAAGACAATTGTGTACACTTCGAAACGCTACGCAACCTTTGATAACAAAAACCATGCACCTTTGAAGAACAATGTAGAACAACAGCACGCAAACTTTAGAATTCACACGTACACTTTAGACAACCAGTTCACACTTTCGAATAACAGAGCAAAACAGACATCATTGCATATTGAAGCAACAACACACAACTTGAACAACACTACGCATACACAGACAACTACCGACAGTATATTAGAGCATACTGTAATTTTGAAACCATGCAAATTGTAAAATGAGAATGCGTTTGTGTGGGTCCGATCTGCCTCGCGACAACATGTTCTTCTCACATCTCGTCCGGGTGCAGAAGGCGCACGGCTGCCCGGCAATGGTCTCCACCTCTCCCTCCACCTTCCCCTCCACCTTCCCCCCTCCACCTCCACCTTCCCTCCTCCTCCATCCTCAACTAGAACCGCGCGCGCTTCGCGCGCGCTTGGGTTCTAGCGCATGCCACGGCGTTGTTGGCTGCGCGTGCTTTTCGGAATGGCTCATTCCATGCCTTGCCTTACCTCGTCCCCCAATATTCCTTATACGTCCTTCCTTGTTACCCCTCCAGGCTCTCTCGGTTGTCTTCGCTTTTCGTTTTTCTTTCTTATCGACGGCCTCCTCTTGCTTGGGATCATGCGGGGGCTTCGAGCTGTTCAGGGCTGGCGAGGAGAGATATTGAATATGGAAAGGGCTGGCTTGAAATGTACGGGTCTCTTGTGGATCTTCCTGCTTGGGCTGCCTCGAAAGCCTTGGGACCCGCTTGGGGCCCTCTTGGGGTCTTCTTCGAAGTTGTGGGGCCGTCTCGAGATTCGGCACCATGTGAAGATCTCCCGAAGCCATCCGAAGGAGACGAGCATGAGATTGACGTTTATAGCTCTCTGCAGTCATTTAGGAGGGCCTCTGGGAGCTCCACTGGGGCATCTTGTGGCCCCTGGGGGGCTTGAAACATCTTGGAGCGTCTTGGACCACTGAGGGGCCATCTCGGCGGCCAGCGGCCCGGAGCCAAGGGGGTGCCAATTGGGTTGCGACGGGGGGAGTTTGGGAAAAGTGGGCCACCCCAGGTCCCCTCCCCCTTGGGCGGTCCCGTCGTCTTCGTCCGTCGTCCGACGTCCGTCGTCCGTCCGCCCGCAATGTTGTTTCTCGATGATAGCTCTGCCGAGGGGATCTTTTCTCGCATGTTCTCTCAGCAGGAGGTGCCAAGGATGCAGCGGCCAGCACTGTACATGAGCTGCTGCCTTGGACTGCAGCTCGCTGGACACTGCTGCGTGAAAGGCGCTGCTACCCTGGGCTGCAGTGCCACGCAACTAAATACCTCAGCATCATTTATCCCACACGGTACTTGAACGAGAGATGGACAGTTTGCGCGTGAATTTCTCTGTCCTGAGTCCTGAATGAATGACTATATAACCCTCCTGAATGAATGAGCATCTAACCCAAACCCAAAATTCCAGGATTTCTTGGCCGTCGGAGACTCCTCGAAACCGTCTGGGGGGCGATCCAGGGCTCTCTGGAGCAGCCTTGACGGTGGCTCGGGGCCGATCATGGGAGTACGCCTGGGTTGTGGGCCAGAGGCCTCATGGACGTGCATGTGCGTGGGATGTGAACGCAGGGGCCAGTGCGCGAACCCCAGAACAGAGAGACGGGAGGCGGCCATCATAGAGAGATGACCCACGACGGGGGGGCCACGGAAACGTTCATGCGCCAGCCTCCGCGAGTGCCCTGGGCAGGACCCGCCCTTCTACTCAGGAAACCGGAGGCGGCGGGGGCCGCACGCCGAGGTCGGGGGCGATCGGGCACGGGGCCTGCACCAGGGAAGCCAGCCGGCGGCGGGTGGCGAAGCACCAGGGGGGAGGATCTGTGCCGGGGAGACGTGGCAGCGGCGGGGGGGCCGGCAGGTGCGTAGAACAGAGCATCGGGGAGCAGCCGGGGGACGGGGCGCCGACGCCGGGACAGCGGCGGCGGTGGCCGACAAGCACCAGGGACCAGGACGGTCGGGGGGCAACGAAGACGAAGAGAGGGGGCCTCGGGCGGGGGCGGGGCCCGCGCGGAGGGGCCGGGTCGAACCCTCGCGGGCGCCTCGGGCAGGGCCGATGCCCGCCGCAGCACGGCTGTGTGCGTGCGAGGCCTGCCGGGCCGACCGAGCAAACACCTGCGGACGGTCAGGCTGCCTGCCTGTGCCTCCTCCGGCTTGTCTATCGTCCGCCCCCCTCCACGTCTCCCCCTCCTTCTCCTCTGACAGACCAGCGACTAGAATTTATGCCGTGGCCGCTGCAAAAGAGGACGCCGCGGCTGTGGCGGCAAAGGCACCGAGGCTGGCCCTGAGAGAGCTGCTGCCGGTGCTCTGGACGCCCGCGTTCCCCTCGACCGACGGGTGCTCTGGACGCCCGCGTTCCCCTCGACCGACGACACCACGAGCTCCTGGGTGAAATGATCGGCCTCGCTGCCGACGCGCAGCACCACGTATCTGGCATCGGCGGCGGCCTTCAGCGCGGCGGCCTGAATCCGTTTGCCGCTGGCGTCGTTCAGGTCAATCTGGTAGCTCCCAGAGGACAGCCGGACCTGCGAGCCACTCTTCATCTCCATAATCCTCCTACGCTTCTCGCCGTAGGTCTCGATCTTCATGGTCCCGTTCAGGGTGCCAGCGTACGCGTCAATCACTACCATCTGGGCCTGCTGCCCAGCCTGGGTACCGAACGAGTGGGAGGCGAAAGCGGCGGCCAGCGAGCCTTTCGTGCGGTGGTACGGGACCAGCACCAAGCTCGCTGTGGTGCGGGGCAGACCGCTGGCGCGGAAAGTGCCCACACTGATGCCGCCCAGCTTGAACTCGATGAGCTCGCCCTCCACCAGCTGCATCGGGATCAACCTGCACTCCTTGTACTTGAGCGGCTCCTCCGTGACTCGTGCCATCCTCCTGAGCGTGTAGACGTTAAGGGGGGTGCTGTCAGCGTATGCGTTGCAGAAAGTCAGGTTGTACACTGGGATAATGTCGTCTTTAACCATCAGGCCTGTCCCTGCGCAGGCCAATGCGTAGAGCACGAGTCCGCGGAGGGCCGTCATGATTCCCCCCGGGCAGTGCCTGCACTGATGGGTTCTTACTTGTTGGGTAAAACATGCTAGAACGTGCTGTTACGGACCTTGGGCCAAACGGATACGGAAGACGAGAGGGAAGATGAGCATTGTGAGGAGGGTTGGGTTGACATCTCGATTCGGGCAAGGGGCACGCCAGTAAAGCGGGCACTCTGAACAAGAAGCTGGCCTGCAAACAGGAACCCCGCGACAATTCCGTCTCCCAGTGGACCCGCAGAGCCCCGCGGCACCCTACGAAGCTCAGGGCTGACGAAAAATGTGCCCCCAGACTTCGCACAGCAAAGCCGCCACAGTGCCGCTGGGCACGCAGAGGGCACGCCAATGCATGAAAAGAGGTAGGCAGGCCTGAGCTGGATCGAATTCGGCGGTCGACAAACCTCCCTTCAGCAAACCTCCCCTTGGTGAAAGCGGCCTAGGACCGAGACCGACGGACCTGGAGCCGCAAAAAATGACGGCAACGACGCCCCCTCGCGAACCGAAAACGGCCAGTTCGCGAATCGACGTGTCAGGGTAGCAGGTCTGTCCACCCCCGAGGGGTAGGCAGGCCTGACAGCGAGAGAGAGAAAGAGAGAAGCACTGTGCACGTCAGAGGTGGGACGGCGGCGGCGGCGGAGGCGAAGGGGGGGAGGACGACGAGGGGGAGGAGGAGGAGGAGGAGGAGGAGGAGGAGGAGGAGGAGGAGGAGGAGGAGGAGGAGGAGGAGGAGGAGGGCGAGGAGGAGGACGACGAGCTGGACCGAATCGCGAAATCGGATCGGATCTGAAGTGGATCGGATCGCCAGCAGACCGTCCCAAACCGGCCATCGGCATCGGACCGCCGCGCCTGGCCTCTGGCCGGCCTCTGGCCGACGCCAGTGCATCGAGCCCACTCGCATCGCATCGGAAGCGCGGCCCGCGCCGGCGAAGCGGATCGCGTCCAATCGCATCGTGCTGTTGAAAGAAAATGTGTGCATCATGGCACTGCTGCTCCCCCGCGCCCCCGACTTACATCTTGATAGTTCTGACGTCTCCCGGGGCCCATTCGAAAAAGAAGAAGATGCATCCCATTTCAGCGTGCGCGTCCGCTCTCAATGTTGAGGTCGGGGGCGGGGGGGTCGCATCATCAATTGTCGTGCCGCCCAGGTGGTGCAAATGGTAGGCGTCCGTGTGGCCTTGTCCCCTTGAAGTGGAACGATTCAAAATGGGAAGATAAATTACAGACTCGCGAAAGCCGCGTCCGAATAGCCGCGCATCGACGTGGGACAAGAGACGCGAATCGTAGAGCAGCTGCCCTATCATACAAGTGCAGACAGGTCCTTTGCCCCTTTGCCCAATCTCCTGAGCCTCAGTCCTCAGTCCTGAAGAGTGTTTTAAGGCCCGGACCCGAATCTCCCAACTATCTTGGGGCTTGGCGGGTGTCCCCTGGGGTTCCAGGCATCTTGTCGCGTGACTTGCTCGGGACCAAGAGGGACTCAAGACGGGAAATGAAAGCCCCACGAGGCCCTGAAGACGGTCCAAGATGGCCCCGAGGCGCCCAATGATCGTTCCGAGACGTCCAAGATGGCCCCAAGTATGGCCCCAAGTCGGCCCCAGGCCCCCGAGACGCCCCAAGAGGCCTCCAACAAGAGGGCCCCTAAGAGGCACGAAACAATGATTTTCCGTAGGTTCTTGAAGGATTCAGGCCTTCTCGCATTTTCGGCTTCCCAACGCTCCTTGACGGCCCAAGAGGCCCCCAAGACCATCCCGAAACGACCCAAAAAGCTTCCAAGATGGCCCCAAGACAACCAAAAAGCGCCCCGAGATGGCCCAAGAAGCGCCCACCCAAGACGGCCCAAGGGGTCCCCAAGACGGCCCCCGAAGGAGCCGCCCAAGAGGGAACACGGACCGAAAAAGCGAGCCGTTCGCCCCAAGAGGCCTCGAGGAGGCCCTACGAGGCGCCCAGGAGGCCCCACGAGGCCCCCAAGAGGCCCCCACGAGGCCTCAAGAGGCCCACCAGAGGCCCAAAAGAAGCCCCCAAAACGGCCCCCCGGAGGCTTCCAAACTGCCCCCAAGAGTCCATCCCAACGAACATCCGGTATGCTTCACAGCCACAAGCCAGGCACGGTGGCGGCAGAGGCCCAAGAGGCCATTCGACACCGCTGCTCGCAGGCGCCTGCGGTGCCCGCGTCGGCGGAGAGACCCGGAGCACGGCCAGCCGAGACCGGAGGAGGCCAGGGGCGGGGCACGCGGGGCGTGCCCGCCGCCGTGTCCGGGCGGGCCGGCAGGGAGCCTTCTTGATTTAGGGCGGGCATGTCCATGTCCTCCTAGAGGCGGATGTTGGAGGAAAGCTAAAAACAGCTGCCAAGTCATCTTCAAACCTGATCAAACACATTGACATTCGTATCCATACTGTGTTTGATCATTTGGGCATCTTCCTCCTGTATGGGGGACATGCCCGCCTCAAGTCTTGATTCCGTCCCATCCCCCATCTCTCCTGTCTTTGGCGATTCAGAGATGGGGCCCTGACGGATGGGGCCCCAAGTTGGGATAGGAAGGAGATGGGACGCACAAAGGCATACTACTAGTACCATATGCTATCCTTGGACGCGCGCGTGCAACCCGAACAGAAAGTATATACCCAGCCTGTAGTATATCGCTTCCCGAGCGGTGTGGCCAGAAAGCGCCCGCCACGACACATGTACAACAAGACTTCTCGGTGCGCGCGCGGGCCCTAATGGGGGGCGACGCACACCTAGTTTTAGCATGTTCGGGTGACGCCGAGGACAGGCGGCACCACCACCACGACCACCGCCACCAGCAGCGCGAGGCGCCGGGGAGCGTCCTCCTGGTGGTGTGGCCGTCCCCTCTCGCCGGAGACGTATCCCCATGTTTCCAGCGCGGGAGGGCACCGTGGACCCCGCGCTCCGAAGGTGGCCCCCCCTGGTGGTGGCGTCGCATCCCCTTCTCCCGACAAGGAGTGGTGGCCTCAACCGGTGACAGTTCAGCCTGGCACCCCCTTCCTATCCTCGGGGCCCCAAACCTCAGGACACCCCGTGCGAACCGCCATAGCCGCGCCGAACTCCACCCGTCCAACGGACGCACAAGCGGGGACAAGGGGGGAGGAAACTATGGATTCGCACGATTAAAATCCTGATGCGCCTGGGGGCGCGCTTGTCGTCGATCAGTAACGACGGAAGGTCCCACATCAAATCGATTCGCCCTCTGCGGTCTTCGGGAAACAAGGTCTCCCACGCGGCACCCGCTTTCCCGCAGGCTAACTTCTGACTTGATGTGCCCACAGCAATGGGCGTGGAGGAGGGTCGGTGCGGAGAACAGCGAGAAGGAGCGGCAACGAGCTGCAATGAGCTGATTTCCACGGCGCCTCCCAGCGCCAGAGGTGGCCATGCATGTGGCTGACTCCGTATCCCCGCCTTTTCCAGACCCCACCGTCGTCATCTTCGAGATTGGGAGGAACCATTCGGCGGCAAGCGAGGGGGGGAAGTGAGAAGGAGAAGGCCTTCTCAGAAGGCGGCGGGACTTCTCAGAAGCCCTCGCGCCTTATGAGAAGTTTATGTTGGTCTTCGGGGAAGGCTTAGAAAGCTTCTCAGAAGGCCGAGGGGACTTCCGAGCCCTCTGAGAAGGCCTGCTCCTTCTCACTTCCCCCCCTCGCTCGCCGCCGAACCAAGAGTAGAGGGACGCCCACTGTACACATCGTACACTCATGGCCAGGCCCATCCTGGACCCAAGATCGACGCAGACGCCCTCCTGGCTTGGCCAGGGAGGCATATGGTCCAGGGACTGCCCCCCCCACCAGATGGCATGGTGTCCAGCCCCCCCCCGCCCCCCATGATGGGTGCCCCCACCTCGTGGTGTGCTGTTGTGTGGTGTGGTGGCTTGCGCGCGTGCGTGCGTGCGTACGTGCGCGTCCCCCCGCCCCCCCCCCGTGGGTGTGGCGTGGTGTGGTCGTGTGGTGGTTTGCGCGCGTGCGTGCGTGCGTGCGTACGTGCGCGTCCCCCCGCCCCCCCCCCTGTGGGTGTGGCGTGGTGCGGTGGTGTGCTGTGGTGAGGTGGTTTGCGCGCGTGCGTGCACGTTCCCCCCTTTGGGTGTGGTATGGTGTGCTGCGTGATGGTTGCGTGTGCGTGTGCGTGTGCGTGTGGACGTGCGTGTGCGTGTGGGTGTGGGTGTGGGTGTGGGTGTGCGTGGGCGTGTGGGCGTGTGGGCGTGTGGGCGTGCGGGCGTGTGGGCGTGTGGGCGTGTGGGCGTGTGGGCGTGTGGACGTGTGGGCGTGTGGGCGTGTGGGCGTGTGGGCGTGTGGGCGTGTGGGCGTGTGGGCGTGTGGGCGTGTGGGCGTGTGGGCGCGTGGGCGTGTGAGCGTGTGGGCGTGTGGGCGCGTGGCGTGTGTGCGTGTGGGCGTGGGGGCGTGTGGGCGTGTGGGCGTGTGCGCGTGTGGGCGTGTGGGCGTGTGGGCGTGTGGGCGTGTGGGCGTGTGGGCGTGTGGGCGTGTGGGCGTGTGGGCGTGTGGGCGTGTGGGCGTGTGGGCGTGTGGGCGTGTGGGCGTGTGGGCGTGTGGGCGTGTGGGCGTGTGGGCGTGTGGGCGTGGGCGTGTGGGCGTGTGGGCGTGTGGGCGTGTGGGCGTGTGGGCGTGTGGGCGTGTGGGCGTGTGGGCGTGTGGGCGTGTGGGCGTGTGGGCGTGTGGGCGTGTGGGCGTGTGGGCGTGTGTGCGTGTGTGCGTGTGTGCGTGTGTGCGTGTGTGCGTGTGTGCGTGTGTGCGTGTGTGCGTGTGTGCGTGTGTGCGTGTGTGCGTGTGTGCGTGTGTGCGTGTGTGCGTGTGTGCGTGTGTGCGTGTGTGCGTGTGTGCGTGTGTGCGTGTGTGCGTGTGTGCGTGTGTGCGTGTGTGCGTGTGTGCGTGTGTGCGTGTGTGCGTGTGTGCGTGTGTGCGTGTGTGCGTGTGTGCGTGTGTGCGTGTGTGCGTGTGTGCGTGTGCGTGTGTGCGTGTGTGTGCGTGTGTGTGCGTGCGTGTGTGCGTGTGTGCGTGTGTGCGTGTGTGCGTGTGTGCGTGTGTGCGTGTGTGCGTGTGTGCGTGTGTGCGTGTGTGCGTGTGTGCGTGTGTGCGTGTGTGCGTGTGTGCGTGTGTGCGTGTGTGCGTGTGTGCGTGTGTGCGTGTGTGCGTGTGTGCGTGTGTGCGTGTGTGCGTGTGTGCGTGTGTGCGTGTGTGCGTGTGTGCGTGTGTGCGTGTGTGCGTGTGTGCGTGTGTGCGTGTGTGCGTGT